TATGCATATAAAGTGAGAAGTCTGAAGCAGACTTGTCCCAGTCTCAGAGAGTTAGAACCTGGATAGATGAATCACATACCCACGTATTCACTTTGCCCAGTAGTAATTAAAGGCCCCGAGAGTTGTACGAGATGTTCTGTTTATGGGGTTATAATTTGTTTTTGTAAGTGACAGCAGAGTAGGCGAATAAACAAAGTCAGTTTAGTCTAAAACATGTTTGAGAATACATCGTGCCCTGAATAAGCAGCTTTATGGAAACGAAGTCTTCTGATGATGAATTTGGTTCGCAACCTATTGTCACGTGTATATATGACTCTCGACCTGGTTTTGGGTTGGATAATGGATTTATTGACCACCTACACACATACGACTCGGGACTACAAGCAATTACAGCATTATCGCTGATCTCCACAAATCCCCACAGTACCCGCTAAGCTTTTTCAGCCTACTGTCTTTACGAGCCGTACTCTGGTGACGGCTTCTAACAGCTTCCACGCTCAAGTTCATTTTGGATGGCAGCTCGCTTCCAACTGACTCTTTTCTTCACTGATTTGGTTGCCCGATTTTTCTTCCATATAACTCGTGGGCATGTCCGCGCAGACATCTTTCATTTTCGTACGCATATTCGTTGCAGCGGGAACGTGTTTACCGAGCTGTTCCCCAGAAGCGGCCGTCTGTTCTTGCTTACTAAGAATCTTCTGCCTAGCAACGGACGTTGTTCCGTTGTCTGTTGCTTGGCCGTTGCCTAGAAACAAATGCTGTTTCAGATCCTTTCGCTAGCAACGGCTGTTTCTCTGGCTCCACAGTTCTTGCGTTGAGCCAGTATGCCATAGCATATTGAAAACAGTTTGTAGTAACTATCTAATGGTGACGTAACAACCTGCGTCACTCTCATGAAGGCGCAACCCCAGAAAAGTTTCAGGCACAGTACAGCTGTTAAATCTCGCCTCTCCGTTATACATACAACTGATATACAAGACATAAAGGAATCAGTGCTGCCACATTTCACGCCTGGCGGATCTCAGCGTTTTGTCGTCCCGAAATAAATACGACAAGCTTTGACAACGTTACCTTCGAAACGAGATCGACTGTCGCTCGACAGGCCGTTTGGCATCCCAGTGCATGTACTGCTATTTTCCTGAAGATACCATCTCAGAAGTTAAAGTTGTCCCTATGCTTAATCAATTGAGCACTATTTCATAAAGACATATGGGGGAGTGGAGGTATAGCTCCACCATTCTTGACCTCAGCACTAGATGCAGATGAGTGGCCAGCAATGATCCCTCTAAGCTGCGCCCGCTCGCTGCCGCACACCCGCGCACGAGTCTCAGTCTCCCGCGCACTTTTGTTGATTTGGTATATATAGTCTTGTTGATCGCCTCTGTGGTCTGCTGGTCAGGGTTCCTGGCTACAGATCCAGAGGTCCGGGTTCGATTCCCGGCGCTACCAAATCTTTTGAGAAGTAGTGGTTCTGGAACCGTGTTCGCTCAGCCTCGTAAGGATAATTGAGGAGCTATTTCAAGGAAGTAGCGGCTCCGGTCTAGAAAACCGAAATTAAAGGCCGTGGGGATTCGTTGCGCTGACCACGCGACACACTCTATCTGCTAAATATGGCACTAACTTCGCCGACAAGCGGCGGTCGCTCGATTTATGTCGAATGAATTCTTAAATTCCGAATATGAATGAAACATTTCTAACAGTACATACGTACATGCAATGAGACAGCAATGTGAATGTCATTTTTTCGTATGCAGGGGGTTGAAAGATAGATTTCTTACCATTAGAATACTTTCTTATGTATAGTACACGACAGGAGCACGAGGTAGTGTAGTTGGTTGAGTCATCATACTACTAGCCGGAAATTCGCGGATTCGAGTCCCTAGGAGGTGGATTTTCTTCTCAATTGACTTAATCCTTCCAGCTGCACTATGGCCCTGGGGTCGACTCAGCCTCTAACAGAACTGAGTACCAAGAATCTTCCTGGGGGTAAATGGCTGCCGACTGGAGTGTAAGGCTGACAACCTCACCTCCATCAGTGATCCAGTTATCTAGAAAATATGGGGGCTTCGACGCCTCACAACCCCATGGGCCTTCACGGCCTGTTACAGAGATAGCTTTACTCGTACTTAACCGCATCGCCATCTGTGAGACGATTGTCTAGATAATGTGGGAGCCTCGACGTCTCACAACCCTATGGGTCTTCACGGCCTGTTACGGGGATAGCTTTACCTTTTACTAGATACATGAGAACGTAAAACAAACAGGAAATGAATATTCATGAGTAGCATCATGCATCTGCTCGAATTATTTTTAGGAGTACATTATTTATAGATCCGTATCAGATTAAGTGGGGGAACGCGGTAGCGTAGTTGGTTGAAGCACTATACTACAAGTCGGAAGGTCGCTGGTTAGATTCCCGATGAAGTCACTGGATTTTTAAATTTGCCTAATCCTTCCAGCGGCACTGTGGCTCTAGGATCGACTAGTCTGTTAACAGAAATGAGTACCAGGAATGTTCCTGGTGGTAAAGGGCGGCCGGCGCGTAAGGCTGACAACCTCATCGCCATCTGTGAGCCGATTGTCTAGAAAATATGGAAGCTTCGACGCTTCAAATCCCTATGGCCCTCCACGGCCTGTTACAGGGATAGCTTTATCTTAACGAATTAAGCAACGGATCAAAAAACTTATTAAAACTGCATATTATTATATGTTTCTAGTGATCATATTTGTTTTATTTTAAATTTGTATTATTGTTTATGTGATTACAGTAAATAATGAAACAGTAAAATCTTACGTCGAAGTAGATTATTGTTATTATTATTATTAATTTAATGCCATTATATAGACTGTCTTATTTGTATTTGTCTTTTAGTTATATCTGTATTTCTATGTACTCGTGCCAACGTGTTATTGGCCTCTGTGCTGTTAAATTTGCACGCAAATAAACACGAATTGAATTATTATTATTATTATTATTATTATTATTATTATTATTATCTATTCAGCTTAGAGTTGATGGTACTCATTTGGTAGACCCTATGAAGTTGCCAACGCATTTGCTGATCACTTTCAGTCAATATATAATAGTTCCTCTCCAGGGGTCTTCCCCTCCCTTTCATCATCATTTGGATCTCTATCTTTATCACCTATTTCTGATTCAGACATTTTTAAAGCCATTGAACGTCTGAAACCATCCAAACCTGTCGGTCTTGATAACAACCCTGCATTTGTCATTAAGGGGTGTTCTGATATACTCGCACCTGTCTTGAAGCATATTTTCAATCTTAGTCTCTCTCAGCAGTGTTTTCCTGCATTATGGAAGTAAGCGGCAGTTGTTCCTCTCTTTAAGAGAGGCAATAGTGCCTCAGTCAACAACCACAGACCTATTTCGATTCTTAACAATTTTTCGAAATTGTTTGAATATGTTATCCATGACCATGTTTCACACGACCTCAAGTTGAAATTAAATCCCTGCCAGCATGGTTTCACAAAATGTAAATCCACCACCACCCATCTAATAACGTATCTTGATTTTATTACTCCCCTAGTTGGCTCTCAACGTCAAGTGGATGCATTTACTTTGACCTAACTTCTGCTTTCGACCTCGTTCCTCACTCCTTGCTTCTTCACAAACTGAGTGCCCTTGGATTTTCTGGTGGTTATGTAAACTGGATATGCAGTTACCTAACCAACAGACAGTCGCGGGTCCGTATTGGTGAAACTATTTCATCGCCCTTTGAAGTATTGTCCGGTGTTCCACAATGATCTGTTATTGGGCCTCTGCTTTTCAATGTCTACATAAACGACTTGTGTGATTCAATTAAGCACTCCAGGTACCTACTCTTTGCAGATGACATTAAAATTTACCGTGCTATTAGCTCTCCTGAAGATTGTAATCTTCTGCAATCTGACGTTGACTGTATACGTAGCTGGTGTGCAGCGAACTATACGAAACACAACGTTAACAAAACCAAAATTATAACGTTCTCCAGGAAAACTAACTATTTGATATACGAATACAAATTTCTTCATTTCACTATAACTCGAACATATTCAGTGAAAGACCTGGGCGTATACCTTGATTCTAAACTTCATTTTCATGATCATGTTAATTCTATATTTTCACATCGTATTAAGATGCTAGGTATAATTCGCAGTATCTCCTTTAACTATTCAACCCTTGGATGCATGTTCATATTATACTTTACTTTAGTTAGATCCAAGGTTGAATACGCTTCAGGAGTTAGATCCAAGGTTGAATACGCTTCAGTAGTTTGGAATTCCATTACGTCAACTGATGCAAACAAACTAGAACGCATTCAGCAGAAATTTACGGCTCTCTGTTTTAAACGTTTTTTTCCTCAAGTAGATTACTGTTACGATTTTGCTTTAGAACAATTTAAATTGCACACCTTGCAAAAGAGGAGGTATCACCTTGATGCGCTCTTCCTTATTCAATTTTATCGTGGTTCTGTACTTTGCCCTTCTGCTTTGGAAATTGTTGGCCTTAGGGTCCCTGTTCGATATATCCGAGACTTTCCTATGTTCACTGTCTGTTCTGTTAGTAAAAATTGCCCCTCTGCTAGATGCGCTTCTGCTGCTAATGTTGTCTGTAGAAACGTTGACGTCTTTGGACCAAAAACTCTGTTGATGAAACATATCTTATACTGAANCTATCATTTTTGTATTTTATTTTTTAATTATTTGTATTTCTCTATTCGTGCTAGCTTTGTAATTGGCCTCTGTGCTGTTAAGTTTGCACGTAAATAAACATGAATTGAATTGAATTGAATTATAGTAAGACGGAGAAGCAGAGGATGTAGTGTAATGACTTCCCCCCTTTAATCCTGTTTCATGCATAATATCAGATATAGAATTAATAAAATAGGCAAATAGTAAATTTCTTTGATTGGACGTGCGCTAGCCCCATGCAATTTTGGCGCTAAAATAAATGACTGTAGTGCTCCCGCAGAATTTTATGGCGCCATAGATGGCGACAAATTCGTGTACGCGTAACATAGGCATGGCGGAAACTAAGCGGTGTTGATTGGGATAGGTTAATGTAGTTGAATACAATTTTCATTAGGTTTTTTTCGCTTTAGTTTTAATACTTCTTTTATACAAGATGGGCGCATACCTTTCAGAACCAATAACGGAGAAGGTGTCGACTGATGAGGTGGGAAAACGTGTAATTTGCGGTGCGAGTTCCATGCAAGGATGGCGAGTTACTCAAGAGGTAGGCTCTTAAGTAGCTTGTGGTTGTAATTCAAACGTGCTTGTTTTTTTAAATTAAGTCTTTTGTTCTGGTTGTGATGGAGTGCTTAAGTATATAAATCATACATGAAATGGGATTCTTTGTAATGAGACTGTGACTTAATTGTAGTGTCTGATTTCCTGAATGATTTTGCTTTTTTAGAATACCGAACGATATTGTTTTAGAGTGTGCACCAGCCGAAATACGGTGTTGACATCAGAATTTATAATGAACGGCCTTTAAATACTTCAGTCATCGTTGCCAAATTACTACCAGAAGGAACGAAGTTTAAATTAATAAGACTGTGGTTAAGTAGTTTGCTAAATTGGTATTTTAAGTTTCCTCGTGCAATGTTGTAGAACTATTGCGTTAACCATTGTTCCCTGATGAATGCATTGTTTTAGTTCTGTCTTACATGATTCAATGGATGAAGATTCTTCAGTCTGTTCTTTCTTTCCACAATCATTCCTTTTCAGTTCCTTGTCAGATCGCCCTTCTCTTATACGTATTTTCCAGTACCTCTCTATACCATCTGTTATGTGTTGACCCACTGGTCTCTTTCGTTGGTTGGTTTCCAATGGCTGCATTTGGGATCATTTAACCCATTTTGCTTCTTGCTTCCCAATAGAGAACACTCAAATTCCTGCTTTGTTGCATCTTGAAGAAGTTTGCACTTTTCTTTTGGGAAGCTTTGCCAGGTTTGTTGCTCTTTTTGCACTACCCAGGGGACAGGTATGATTTAAAGAATGTCACGGACACGAGCAACTTTGTCCCCCTTTGTGTTTTTCTTTTAAATTTTAATTCTAATGCTCTTTTCAGTATTGTGTTCATTTCATTTACATTTGCAAATATTGTAGTCATTTCTCTTCCATTTTAACACATTCTGAATTCCGGCTTCATCAGTAAACTGTTTAATCCCTTGTGTTTCCCTCAGTACTTCTAAAAAAGAAATGCAGTATTCTTGGATTTTGCTGTTATTTCTCTTAGTAAGGACCAATGTTTCTGGGCATTGTATATATCAGTTTAAAAAGTACTTCATAGATTGTTGTTTTGCATTATTTGAGGATTTTTGTGTTCCATATTATTCCCTTTATGATTGTCTAAGATCCTGAATCATTCTCTATTCTTCTGTTTATCTGTCCATCAGTTTTCCTGCAAGAATATATTTCAGTTCCAAGGAAATAAATTTATCTTCATATTTAACCCCTGTGTCTTTATGTTTTATTCTGATGTCTGTGTTCTGTTTCCCCTGAAATCCTGATACTTTTGCCTGTGTTCATTTCCAATCCATGTGCCTTTGTTATGAAATTATCAGTGATTAATTTCTCCTCATTGTCCTTATTGTCTTATTTCCCACCATATGAAGACATCTGTGAATGTTGATGTTTTCATATCTGGTCTTTTGGTTTCCCATACCTCCATTAGCAGTTGTATCCATAATGTCATTGAACAGGACTGGCAAGAAGACGTTTCCCTGTCGTGCTTTAAAGATGTGTTTATGCTAAAGCATTAGTACAGTTGCTTTTCTTTTTGTGTGTTTTCAGGATGCTCACAATTGCACATTGGAGTATGATGCAGGCACTTCATTTTTTGCTGTGTATGATGGCCATGGTGGCCATGAGGTTGCCACATATGCTGCCCAGCATTTGCCCCAGTACCTGAAGAATTGTGAAGCATACAAGCAGGGTGATTACGCACAAGCCCTGAAAGATGCCTTTTTGGGGTTTGATACTACCCTCACTACCCCAGAAGTGTTGTCTCTACTCAAACAAATAGCAAGTAATAAAGATGGTGGACAGAATTCAGGATCAGGTAACAGAATTACAAAATAAGAATATTGTAAATGCTGTTTGTATTTGAAAGTGATTCATAATTGCAGTATGACAAGCAGATCACTGTATAACAGTACACTGTAGGTAAAGAAATGTATAGCAAATAATCTGCATGTGTGATATCATGGCAGTAAATTTTCAAGTTCCTTGGGTCATCCAGTAATATTTCCATATTTATTTATTTCCATAAATTTCCTAATAATGGTATTAGGTTTCTTAACCTCTGTTTTTTTCTGAGGTGAGGTTGATAGCTGTACACTGAACCCCCAGTCTAAAGGACCAGAATCTTTGTCTGGGCTGTACCCATCAATCTATCTATCTAGGGTGATCCTACCAGAACTTACATCCCTACTGGTATAATTCTCCAGGTGCAATGTGACATTACTAACAGAACAATTAACTTTAATCATTTTGGTCCGTCAGACTAGTTAGATATTATAGACTGATTTGACACTGTCCAGTGCGACTCAAATATACATTTATATGATGTCTTTACATGTTTCGGTCAGCAGACGACCATCATCAGAAGTCACAACAACCTGTTGAGGAAACTACCATTACATTATCCATAGTACATCAAATTGAAATGAAGTTTTATATAAACATTTTCAGTAAGACAAACTGTTGAATTTTTAGCTCAGCAACCATTTTTTCTTCATTAAGATCTTCATATAAAACTTTGACCAGTGTAGTGGTTTCCTCAACATGTTGTTGTACCTTCTGAGGATGATCGTTTGCTGACCAACATGTAAAGGCATCATATAAATATACTTCTGAGTCACACTCGACGGTGTCAAATCATTCTATAAGAACTATAGTCTCTCTTTATTTTTGGAGCAACGCGTGTACAAAGGCACAGTTTTTACAAGTGGTTCTCTGGCCTGGTTCTTACAAAGCTCTAAGACATTGTGGTGCATAAGCCACACATAGCATGCAGATGATCGGATGGAAAATGTTAGGAGTTCGTATTGAGTATAGAAGAGAAAACATTTCTGTTTTGTATTGCTCGCTTTAGTAGTGTACCAGCGTGCTGCTGGGCCAATCAGAGCCAAACTATGGCATTATATTCATCAAACAGGTACAAGTTTGATTTCTTTTACTGTTTAGCGAAGGCATTTGTAGATGAAATGTTAATGCATGGTTATAATATTTCATAATTGATGAAAAATGCAATATCTTTAAGACACTATCTTGAGATTCTGTTATTTACAGTGCTCATCATCCATCTGCACATTTTGGGCAGATAATATGCTTTCTGGTTCTCATTACTGTGTTGCATGGTCTCCACACACACTTCCGTAGGTTTACCTCACTTGCAAGTGTGAGATATCAGAGTGTGTTTTGTTCTGTGTTACATTTTAACCTGCAGTTGATTTTATAACATCAAACCCAGTTTCCCAGAAATCAGTGTTGATGGACAAAGTACACTTCAGTACTCAGGTGGTATGTTAATTAATGCTGTGGAATATGTCAGACCCTTGTACTATTACTGTTCAGTAAAGCAGAGTTTATGTTTTCTTTCAGAATGTGAGTAGGTACATACGTATTAGCAACTGACTCAAGTAACGTTAAAAGGTTATCATCATGTAATTACTGGAAGTTTATTTCTAAAAACAAGAACCAAAGTATAACCTTAGAATTTGCCTCCAGGAAGTCCATGAGATCCTTTATGATTAGGAGTTTGGTTCTTCTCCTACAAATAGGTTACCAAGACTGGCAGCACTGTTGTCACAAACAACTTGGTGAGAAATTTTAAAGTTACTTGGGTCACTTGTGAGAATTTTTATTTTATTGAAATGAATCAGTTTCTTTAGAATCTAAGTGATTGCCACTTAATGTATGTCCCCCTACCACTCCATACTGGAATTTTATATGCTGGGCTGGCCATTTTTATATGAAAATGTGATTTTGAACTTACAGCATTCAGAACTGAACTGGAATTGACAATTGCTATAAGTTCTGGGTCATTCAAGTTTCAACGAGCTGAACTTCATTAGGTATCTCTGCATTTGAGTTATATGTTCTATATGTAATAATACAAATGCCATCGTGAATGCAACAATTTATTTAGTTCGTCATCATGTGTGTTTGATTTCTGTTTTCATCTTGTCTGATTTGATCTGTTAGATAGAGAACACCATTAAAAACATACTATATAACAACGGATACGACACAATCATAATTAACAAATCAAATCAGACAAGATGAAAACAGAAATCAAACACATGACGACGAACAACACCAAAAAACAAAGTGGGCCATATTTACATATAGTACAAAAGAAGTAAGGAAAATCATGAAACTTTTCAAATACATACAGATAAAAGTAGCATTTTGCACACAGAACACAATTGAAAATATACTCAAACATAAACCACAATTGGATAAATACAATAAAAATGGCACATACCAAATGAAATGTGCGGATTGCCCATTGAAGTACATTGGACAAACGGGCCGAACATTTAACACCAGATATAAGGAATATATACATGATATTAGAAATAATAATAGCAATTCCGGATACTCAAATCACATACTAAATACGGGACATTCATACGGAACAATAACAGACATAATGGAAGTTGTAACAAAGGGAAAGAAGGGTAGACATTTGAATACACTAGAGAAATACCATATATACAAAGTAAGTAAGAGGGGCCTACACATGAATGACACACACATAGAAACACACAATCCCATATTTCAAACAATATGCGAGATCTATACAGACTAACAGTATTCCCCCTCCCCACTACCCCTTCCTCTCCTACACTCAACAACATAAAAGCACAGCACACAACACACCAGATGGCAAAAGTATTAAAGATGAGCAGCGACACACACACAGAGAGCCTGCACAGAGTAAGTACACACAACAGTATGAAACATATAAGAATAACGTAGGAACATAGGATAGTAATACGAATATTTGTGTATTACAGATAATATATGAACAGTGCTGGAAACAAGAAATAGCCGCTGCAGCACATGTAGACACAGAGCAGGTAGCTCTGTCATTTAAAACTTTAAATTTTGAATTTTAAATTAAAAAAAAAAAAAATTTTAAACTGGAATTCTAAAATCAAATTGACGAGCGTATGTTGGCGAGATTTTAAACAAAACTGACAGGCTGGTGATTTAGCTTTTGGATTGTGTGCAGTGTGACAGCTACGTAGTGAAAAATACGCCTGATGATGGCCAGTTATGGCCGAAACATGTAGTGTAGAGGAAGAAAAGACAAAGAACTACAACTAAATAAATTGTTGCATTCACAACGGCATTTGTATTATTACATACAGAAGTGTATAGTGCAACAGGATGCTTAAATATAATATGAGTTAATGTATTTAAACACTGCCACCTGTCTGTCACCTTGTCAGGATCAGCAGTGGCACATGATAAAGTTCAGAATATTAGGTGACACGTTAATAGAAGGACAGTTGTATCAAAGTATTTTCTTTCTTTTTGCCATTTTACAGATGAAGAGGAAGAGAATGTTAAGAACCTCTATGAAGAAGCACAGATGCCACTTGAGCAAGTGATGGCCAAGTACCAGAATGACTTCCTTAACCCAAACATAAAGAAAATAAAACAAGATGCTGGGAAACCACCTGTGTCCCCATTCCTTCGTGGGCGTCGTTCATGCTCATCAGGGGCATCAACCTCGGGATCTGGATCTTGTTCAAAAAGTAGCACAAGCACACAACCAGAATCCAGGAGTGGGAACACTGAATCTGGTCCAGATTCTGAAGATAACAATGAAAGGGACACGGAAGTCAGCAGCTCAAGCAGTCGAGGACAAAGTAGCAACTCCTCAAGTACATCCAGGCAACATTCAGGGAACTGTGAGGCTGATCAGGTGTCTGATTCCAGTGCAAATAATGGGGAAACAAAGTCAATGTCAGAATCATGTGAGGAAATAGAAACAGCTAAACACAAAGCAGCAGTGCCAGATAGTTCAGAAGAGGTGAAGGTACAGAGCCCAGAAAAAACATCAGATCATTCTGGGGAAGGAAACACTTCTGTTAAAGTGAATGATGCTAGTGGTGTTATGCAGGAAGTGAATGGAGAAATTGGCGATGTGGATGAGAAAGATTTGGGACAGACCGCAAAAGATTGTGATGGGGTTACTAGCTCCTCTGCACCACATGAGAATGGGGAAGTGGTTAAAAGTGAGAGCAAAGGGAAATCTCCAACCAAAGTCACTAAAGAAAGCAAGAAGCATGTCTCACCTCGTCGCCATTCTGCAACGGAACTTTATCGCACGCTACTTAGGGATCAGGATCAGAGTGACAGTGATTCAGACGATGAGGGAGACGTGTCATTTCAAGGGGTTGATAACAGGTAAGTTCAGACAAAGTTGTAGAGAAAACTGGAACACACTTTTTGTAAGGTTTGAGGTATTCACAGCATGGATGAAGAAGAGAGCTGTTTTCAGGGATATGGTGCCAGATAGTTTTATAAAAGTTTACTGACACTTCAGGGGAACTTGCTGCCTCTGTCTTCAGGGCTGAAGAGTAAGCCCTGCATGTAACAAGCAAGAAGAGGACTTGCTTGACTTAACCTCAACCATGAAGGTGGTAGTAGTATGTGTGTACAGAACGATGGTAAACTTCCACCAGAGTCTACAGAGTCAAATCACATTTTATATGCAGTACATGTTTTCCATGTGTCTTTGAATTTTCAGAAGAATTAAGCACAGTGGAGCAGACATGCCCGAATTGCTACACAGTGCATATGTTTCCTAACTTACCGATTCTATGCTACATAATTACATGATATGCTGAGTGCATGTTCTGCCTGTCTTAGTTTGCTGCAAAGTCACTTTCAGTTCTTGCATTTCTTAAATGTATTTATCCACTGCAGTTTCAACTGACATAATCTTGTTTAATCTGTGAATATCATCTATGTCCCCCCCCCACAGTCCAGCACACAGGTTTTGATTACTTCTGTTAGACTTTATAGAAAAATGTGTCTTTTAACTTTCCTGTTTACTACTGAAAATGAACAGATGGCATCCGGAGATACTATGAAATTTACTTTGTACCCAGCATAGTCGGTATAGTGACTGGGTTGGAGTTTGAGTCCTGGTAGGGTCAAGAATTTTCTCTTCTCCACATCGTACAGACTGTCTCTGGGGTTCACCCAACCTCCTATCCAATGGGTACCAGGAGTCTTTTCCCTGGGGGTGAAGCAGCCGGGACGTGAAGCTGACCACTCACCTCCAGTTAGTACCAAGGTCAAGAAAATGTGGATCTATATATCCACTCTCCCATATGCCTCTTTGGTGTAGTCCTTACTTAGTTAAGCAGAGGGACAACTTTACCTTTAGCTTTGCCCCTGCTGGTATGTGTGGTAGCTAAAGCGATGTGCAATTGTGGTAGAGTTGTTGGTTGCAGTTTGAATCATCATTCTGAAACTTCTTTTAATTATATGAGTAAACTATAGTTTCTTACTAATAATACAGATTGCACCATCAACACAACTATAATTTATTAACTTATGTCCCACTACATGTTTTGACCCTTATAGGGTCATCCTTAGGTGTCGTGATTTACACATTTTCATTATTGAACTATAAAGCATGTATACATATTTACATACATAGGCTTAAAATGATTGCTTTCTATGTACATTTATATTCTAACTGCTAGATATTGATTTAAATACAAGATATATATATATATGAACTAGAAGTTAAGAATTAAACAATTAGAAATTAATTTGAAAGTGTCGTATGCTGTATTCAGCTTAGTGTCTGCTGTTGTAGTAGACCACGTATCTTTTTGTATTATGCTTCTATTATTGGCCAGATTTGTTTCTGTACTGTTTCTTGAGCACAATTTATCATCTTTCTTATTACCAGGCTGTCGATTGTTACTGTTGTGGTGTTGTCTAGTTTATGTGGTATGCTTTGCTGCGTTGTCTAGTCATTTTGAGCCTATGTATGTAAATATGTAGACATGCTTTACAATTCAGTAATGAGAAATGTGTAAATCATAACAGCTGAGGATGACCCTATAAGGGTCAAAACATGTAGTGGAACATAAGTTAATAAATTATAGTTGTGTTGACAGTGGAATTTGTATTGTTAGTTATACTCACGCAGAAGGATGCAAACATTAAAAATAGAATTTCTTAATTTGAGCTTTATTCTTTCTGTCAGTTAGCCACTGTATATTGTGATACTGATATGGAAAGCAGCTATATCCTCGGTGAAGACGGTACTTCTGCTTGCTTTTTAGAATGAACGAATGTAACACCTATTGAGAATTCAGCAGGAAATCTTGTCATTTGTTATATATGCTTTTATACTATTTAATTTCCACTGCATACTTTCCAGTCCTACATGTTAACGAATGATGCATTGAAGTCTCCATTTAATGCCAGCTCCCATGAATAACATGTACAAATATTGAATAATATACCATCTCTTTTATATACTACATTTAACATATTCACAGCAAAATATCGGCACTCACAATAGACACAATACACTGAAAAAAGAAGGTTGCTCACTCATTCACAGCTTACTGCGTGCAATGTGTTAATGCTCAGCAGTTTGTTTCTATGGTAACCAACAAATTGTGTAATTTCAAATTTTTCATCCCACCATTACATCACTTTTTTTACCCATATAGGAGGACAGTCATATATGATGGATGCTTTGTTTGGTACATATAATCAGCAATTTGATTATTGTGTTGAATCATCTTATAGTAGTGATGAGGATGCTGATGATGACGAAGAGGAAGATGATGATGACGATGATGACTATGAAGAGGAAGAAGGGGGTGTGGAAGATAGAGATAATGAAAATGAAGATGTGGATGATGATGAGGATGATAGCATGTTGGATGATGATGAAGATGAAGATGAAGATGATTTTGCCATGAAGATGATAGAAGAGGTAAGTTTTTTTTGGAAGGAGGTTAATTTATTTTTATCAAGGATTGATTTTTTTCATCACATGCATAAATGTTCTATATTATAATGCTAATGTGTTCAGTGCTCATCTTGTGACCAGCCATTCAGTGTTATTCACAAGTTACCTGCCTTTAGTAAGAGGAACTCAGAAGAGAGAAAGAGAAAGGAGAGTTCATACCCGAGTTTATGTCCATGAGAAGAATTGATTGGATGTCTCTTTGTAACAAGAGTAGGTTGCTCTTTTAAACAGCCACATTTCCAAAATGAATAGACTTGTGAATGTGTTATTATTATTATTATTATTTAGGAGGGGGTGGGTTTCCCATGCACTGCGACCAGTTGTTGATCTATTGTGCATCCCCCTATAATTATTCTACTAGTCGCCATGCCCTTCCAGTACTGGTGCTCGCTATCAGCCCCATTCTGCCAGCGAGGTCGGCCCTCTCTGGCAGTGGTCCCCGATACTTCCCCATCTGCCGGAGGAATTGGAAACTACTTGGGTGGGAAACTTTGCCTAATTTTGCTCAGAGGTCTCCCAGTGACATGAGAATCTTTTACGTGCCGTAAATCTACAACACGGGACACACGGCTTAAAGTCCCTCCCGGAGGACTTATTCCCTGAATTTTTCCGCCCTTAAAAATTCCATGACCTCCGCCAGGTTTGAACCTGTGTACATTGAGTCATGAGATGGCCGCTTTGTGAATGTGTTACAAAATGTGTCGTGGTTTGTAGATTATTTTACAATGTCAGTATCTAAACTGTGTTTTACATAACAGCGGGGTGATTAATGAACAGTCGGTTGGAAAGGGGTTGGAAGGAAGCATTTTTTGCCTGATTGAGGTACTATTCCTTCACTTGCCTTGAAGAACTGAGGAAAACCACAGAAATCTTCAGTCAGAGTGACCATTGTCCTGACAAAGTTTTGAAACGAGCATCTCTCAGATACAAGCCCAGAGCATTAACAGTATACCACTACACTCACTGCATTGTATTGTACCGTACTGGCAGGTAATGGGTGTTTTTCATTTGTGAGGTTACTGCTCGTTTCAACTGTATGGGGTGCTGAGAATGTCATGGAAAGTGGCAGATTTCCTGCAGGCTGTTCCTCTTAGTCATCTTACTTTACTGCACAGCAGTTTTCCTTTGGGGCTGTATCAGGGATCAAGTGCATTTCCCACACGACGAAGCCCAGATGGACTGTTGGAGGTTTTACCACATTAACACCGATACACTTCAGTATTAGAGTTAATTTTACCGTCTACACAGCACGTTCTTATTATTATTATTATCACACTACATGTTTCGACCTCAAGAGGTCATCCTCAGGTGTACGAACACAGTTGTATAATCACACGCAATCACCATCGTTTTTTCCACTCATTTGACTCTGTATCCTATCCAGGTCCACGCTCAATAATATATTAGGTTCCTCCTACAATAATACAAGTTAAAATACCATTACAAATGTTAAAAGTTAAGATTTAAAATTTAAAATTTCGTGAATTGAATTGAGTAGCCATCACGACCGATAACGACAAGGATCGTAAACAGATCCAACAGCATCAGAGGACACAGAAGAAGAGCGAGACCTCCAGAAAGTGAAAGTACACCAATATAATAAAGTTGAACTTTAATGCATGAACTTTTAACCAATGATAATAGTTGAACTAGTTAAAGTGAACTGTACGCAGTGATGAGCGTAAGTAGGAAGAGACTGAAAAGCGAGTGAAAGTGAAAGTATACCAGTGACCTGAATGAAACTTCAATTCACGAAATTTTAAATTTTACATCTTAACTTTTAACATTTGTAATGGTATTTTAACTTGTATTATTGTAGGAGGAACCTAATATATTATTGAGCGTGGACCTGGATAGGATACAGAGTCAAATGAGTGGAAAAAACGATGGTGATTGCATGCGATTATACAACTGTGTTCGTACACTTGAGGATGACCTCTTGAGGTCGAAACATGTAGTGTGATAATAATAATAATAATAAAAACGTGTTGTGTAGATGGTAAAATTAACTCTAATATTGATTAAATACACAACAGGATGCAAGAAACAATTAAAACTGATAAACTTACTCGTGTGGGAGGAAAAGTTGTGCAGATGGGACACTATCTGTGTTATGCAAGGACAAACAGAATATTTTTGTAGCACTTGAGGTGACTTTAATGTCATTTTAAATTAAAGAGAGATTGTGAACAGTTTTAAGTTGTGTTAAACACGAAGGGAAATGAGTGAGTGATACATCAGTGTAACAGCATGCTCAGATGTAATGTTATTCAACATTGATTCTTACATCAAAACTTCTGCTGTACCGGAAATAATCACTTCAGTTGTTGTGCCATTCACACATACATTCGAGGCTTCTTCTCTTTCCTCTGGTTTCCCTTCCATTTTATATGGTTTGATTGACAAAATGTTTCAGATCTCTTCTGTCATCCCACAACATTCCATCTTTGATTTCTTGCCAATTTTCCTTTCTTCCTAATGTCTTCAGTGCATAGCTGAACCTTCTTGTTCTGTATCATGCCATAGTCCTCATTCCTTGAATTTGTAATTCTAACATCCTTCTTTGTATCCTTGTTCTATCCATTTATTTCATGTTACCAATTCATTGCAGTTCTTTCCCTTAAAACTCTATTAACAAATTTTGAATCAGCTTTGTATAGAGAGAAACTGGTTATCATCCAGATGTCTACATTAATGTATATTGCACATTATTTGTAAACACTGAGGTTTTCTTTTCATTTAAAAATATAATATTGCAACTCATTTGTATTGTAACATGTTTTGTTACTGAAGACGCCGTTCGGATTGTTAACTGGTTTATTTAACAACCTAAAAGTATCGGCCACAATTAATTACAACACTGTTGCGGGTTTCCAGTTTACAAACCCTATGCACTAATCAATTCACTCTGTCCTAAGTAGTCTACATGTATTAATTACGATACGAGAGCTATACAAGTGTCACTGTATCACACACTCCCAATTATTACTCACTTATCACAAACTGTCACTGATTATCACACATGTGTCCGGTTCTTCTTTCTGTGACTGCTGCTAGATTCCAACTGTGTCACTCCTGATCACACACTAACTCAACTGTTGCTAGATTCCAACTCAACTCGTAGGCTGCTGCCTTGAGAACTTGTTCACTGCTGACTTGAAAACTCTCTTCGGTGGCTGTGTAGTTCCCTTATAAACCCTCAGCTGGACAACAGGAAAACAGTTACGTAATCGGCACCACTGTTGTGTGACACCCTGTTTGCCTGTTACGTATGGGTACCGCTGTTATTACCGTCGTCTCTAGCAACCACTGTTTACCCGCTTTGCATAGTGACCAGCATGCTGGGACTTGGCTCACTTCAGCTCCGCTCGGCACGTCGTGGCTGGCGGGGAAGGAGGGGCGTCATCCATAGCGCAACACGTCACAGTATTATGAAATATAACCCTTTAAAATATAGATGTTTTTTTAGATGCACTGATGTGTATGTTTGAGTACTGGTGACTTGTTATATGCAGGAACATGGAGCACAGTGGAGAAGGGGTAGGAAATGAGATACCTCAGTCAAAATGGTGTGGCACATCACGGAAACTGTAAACACAACTCATTGGGCATGCAGTGCAGATTGTGCTGTGGCTGCAGATAGGATGTTGACACTCATGGCACTGAAATAAAACCATAAATATGCAAAATATGGATAACAAAAGTCCTCCTGCCCATCTCTGAACTGTTGTTCCTTACAGCCTGGATCAGACAGTGGATGTACTGCAGTAGTGGCACTTCTCAGGGATCGGGAGTTGTATGTTGCAAACGCTGGGGACTCGAGATGTGTAGTATGCCGCAGAGGTCAAGCAATTGAGATGAGTCTTGACCACAAGCCTGAGGATGAGACTGAAATGGAAAGGATAGTGAAGGCTGGGGGCAAGGTGACTGCAGACGGCAGAGTGAACGGTGGGCTCAATCTGTCCAGAGCTCTTGGTAAGTAACAGAATAGTTTACTTCCTTGTTACATCATATGAACGTTGGTAATTTTGGACATTTTCTATCGTCTCATTTTGGTTAAAGAAACAGTGTTCCTGAAGCTGTCTCAGTTTCTATGATGGGATAAAAGGTAAAGTCCCTGTGCTTAACCAGTTAAGTACTACACCATGAAGACGTATGGGGGAATGGATGTATAGATCCATGTTTTCTTGACCCTAGCACTAGTTTGAGGTGAGCGGTCAGCATCATGCCCCTGCCACTTTATGCCCCCCCAGTGAAAGAGCTCCTAGTACCCATTGGATGGGAGGCTGGGTGGGCCCCAGAGCTGGTCTGGAGGACGTGGAGAAGATAATTCTTGTTCCTACTGGGACTCAAACTCTGACTCCTCAGTCATCCAGCCTGTAGCCAGTCACTATAGTGGCTGTGCTATCCCAGCTCCCCTTCTGTGATGGGATAGAAGTATGAAACCTGCTCTGTTGGTTCCATGGGGGGTGCAGCTGATCTGTATCCCTGGATATCCCCATCTGCTGCTAGAATAATACATACATGTTTGTGCAGAAACAAATTATCAGTTCTGTGTAAACTCTTATGGCATTGGATATTGACAAAACTGGAAACTGAATGTGGCACTCCAGCTTCCTAACTGAGGCTCTTCATGGCTATCCTTGGTCCCTGGAGGAAAGTGTTGGATAGGCCCTCAAATCAGGCCACGACCACTTCCTTCCATATCCTTTCCAATTCTTTATTCACTATTAATCCTGTAATTTGATGGCTTATATTCTGAACCTCTAAATGGTAAAAAGGTAGTTGTTGCTGTGCATATATAAGCACCACACTATGAAAGCATATGAGGGAGTGAAGGTATTGCTCCACACATTCATAACCTTGGCATGCCCAATCCACTTTACCTCAAGGCAAAGGCAAACAATCCCCAGTACCCACTGGACAGGAAACTGGGTGTGCTTCAATGCCAGTTTGGATGCTGTGGAGAAGGGGAGAACACTTGTCCATGCTGGGAATTGAACCCAGATTCCTCAGTTGTCCTTCCCATGGCCTAGTCACTATATTTTCTGAGCTGTCCTGGCTCCCTGGGCTATTACAGCATTCTTGTATTATTAGTGTTGTTTAAATTGGTTATTTAATAACATTCAGTATTGAGACTATGATAGGATGATTGATGAATTGGAAAGGATTTGGAAGGAAGTGGCCATGGCCTAATTGTGGTATTGTCCCAGCATTTGCCTGGAAGGGCTGAGGAAGACCATGAGAAACCTCAATCAGGATAGTTGGTGTCTCAGCCAGGATTTGAACTGTGTGCCTCCAAAATACAAATCTAAAATGTTGGTGCTAGACCATCCTGTTTGGTAAATACACTGTTCACTGAACCATAATTGCATATGTGGCTTGAACTGTCGTTCCCATGCATATTTGTTTGTTACAGGTGACCATGCATACAAACGATCCGAAGGTTTGTCTGCCCAGGAACAGATGATAACGGCATTGCCTGATGTCAGGACACTCATGATTGATCCTGCAGAAGATCAGTTTATGGTCCTTGCATGTGATGGAATTTGGAATTTCATGTCCAGTCAAGAGGTTGTAGACTTTGTACGTCAACGCATACAAGACGGACAAACAAAATTGTCCAAAATATGTGAAGAGGTAAGAGGAAGTGGGGAAAAGGAGTTGGAAGGGAAGAAAAGTGGAAGAAAAGGGGATAGGTAGGAAGAGAAAAAGAAAAGGACAGTTATTGGGCCCTGCTTAACATTAACACCGTTCATTTCAGCCATTTTGGAATTGTAATTTTTTTAGACAGATATTTTCATCATCAGTATTAAAAAGATCATATGAAATTGTGTTTAAAAAATGCGAAATTTGTGTAAGTAAAAAGGTAAAAAGGTAAGGCTATCCCTATAATGGGCCATGAAGGCCCATAGTGTTGTGAACTGTCGAGATTCCCACATTTTCTAGACATTCGGCTGACACATGGCAATGAGACTGTCAGCCTTATGCGCCAGACGTCCTGTACCCCCAGGAAGATTCCTGGTACTCATTTCTATTAGAGGGTGAGTCAACCCCAGGGCCATAGTGTGACTGGAAGGAGTAAGTCAATTGAGAAATCCAATGACCTCATCAGGAATTGAACCTGTGACCTTCTGGCTTGTGGCATAGTGCCTCAACTGACTATGCTACTGCATGCCCCAGAATATTCATACAGTTTCATTTTGTATTTTAACACACAAGAAACTGGTGATTGCTTGCAGCTCTTTGAACATTGCCTGGCGCCAAATACGCTCGGCGATGGAACTGGATGTGACAACATGACTGCAGTCATTGTGCAGTTTCGACCAGAGCTCGTGAACCAGAACGAGAGGAAGTCAGTAAAGCGTTTGGCATCTCCAGTGATGGAAACCAGCATTGATACAACCAAACGTCCCAAAGCAGAAGAAGCATCAACTTGCATGTGATTCAGCAGTTTACTTTTAAGTGCATTATTCGTGTGGGAGGAAATTACAACAGTTTGCAGGTTTAAGGTATTATATTAATGGTAAAAGTTGGACCACCATCAGAAGGTGAATGCTTTATGTATCCAAGAAAACCAGCGTTGCACCTAGTAATTTATGTGCCCACAGCAGAGAGTCACCAAAGCACATCCTGAGTGTATGCAGGTCCAAGAATATTCCCCTCATCCAGAGTGCAGTACTGCATGGGTACCATTAGACCCACAGCAACCATAAGAAAAGTACCACACATGCAAGACATTAGTGGTTGCTTCCGTTGTATTTGAAGATGGATGCAAGCCACTTCAGCTGTAAAGACAGTGTTGCACTTTTAATGCTGAACCCCATCTTGTGGTTGGTGGGCAGTAGACAAATGATACACAAGATTTTCAACACAGTTTATTTAAAAAGTTTGCAGTTTTAGTAAATTGTCACTTATTACATGCAGTTTATTTTCAAAGAAAATGTTTCATTTTTGTATTCTGTTACTTTTCTCTTTTTTTCTTAAAATAATTTCAGTTCTTTCTTCAAGTGCCAATATTTTGACTATTTTCATATGTCATGTTTATTGTATGTATAATGTCCAGCATTTAAAATATAAATATTTTTCTGAAAAGAAACTAGCACAGAGGAATCGTTAGAATTTTCTGAATTGAGACTTAAGTTTTTTATACATGGTATTCTGTAACTTTTTTTTTTCTAATGTATTAAAGTAAATACCTGTAATTCAAAATTCCATAAAATACAATCATTGAGCACTGTACAGAACTTCATCTTGTACGAAAACACATATTATGTTCCATTTTTAATGATATAAAATTACATGACATGGCTAAAGTGAACACATGGTAGCAAAAGAATGTGAAAGTACCAAGTTAAAATGTGAGGGTGAGTTTGAATGATCTCTGAAGCTTTGGGTCCTGGCCCAATTCACATAAATGTATGGTCAGAATATAACCAGACTTATGCTCTGTACTGACAGCAGGTTCAGAGACCATCTAACATACATTTTAATTTTGTGTTGCAAGGTTCCCACAAGTTTTTAAGCTCTATTTAATCAGAAAACATAACCTGTATCTGATATTTACATATTAGGCATTAGTTAAAAGTAACAAACATAATTGCATTTGAGAACAAAATTCAGTTCTGGATTCTGAAAGTTCATTGTTATATAAGCAGTGTACCCCCGGTCCCCAATTAGCACACTGACTTGTCTTGTGGAAAATTTGTGTCCATTAACATGATTTCACCTTACACATTATTTTTCAAGAGTGCATCAGCTGTGTTAGTTGGGGACTGAATATTATTGCATTACAAAGGTCAGTTGCATCACAGAAATTTTATACACAATATATATTGGCTACCAAACTGTTTGGATTATATTGTTACAATTATCTGCTGTTCTTGATGAGTTCTGTCTTCTGGGATATAATGCTATATATTCCACTAAAAGTCATCCCACATTTTGGAGGAATGTCACATTCATCTTCAAGGTTGAAGAGTAAGCCAAACAAAAAATCATGAAGCAGGCAGCATTTCAACTCTGAAGATGTAGGTGGCATGTTGTTTGGAAACATCTGTTAACTTTTAACAGACTGCATGGTGTTACATCCCAGAAGACATAAATCTTCATAACCACTGCCATGAGAACCTCAAATCCTACATCATTTTTCTTTTTGCCAAACATTTCTCCAAAATAGGAATGCATTTTAACAGTCATGGAAAAAATTTGCTCATAAGGTGTTAGAATACTTGCCTTACACATATGGTAAATAAACATAGAACCACTGACTGTTTTCTACATTCCAGCTTCTTGTCAGTCATAATTTATGCAGTCTGTAGCAAAATGTACGCACTGGAATATTAGTGCAGTCATGTGAATGTGTAAGGTCACAACAGCCTTGATTGCCTATACTGTGAAGTGAGGATGAAGGAAAGTGCTTCTGTTATAATTTTGCATTTTCTAAACTTTATAGTGGCTCCTGTAAAAGAAACTGCATACTGACATAGTAGCAGAACCCATAGTTAATTAGTTATTAAAATATAGTACAGCAATACCTCGCATAGTCCGGGTAATTGGTTCCGCCAATAACCTGGACTGTTTGAAACTGGACTAATCAAGAAACTAAACACATACATAAAATGATAACTGGTTTCAAAAAAAAAATCCCCATTTTTCAGTAAATAAAATGTGATTAATAAATTCAAATGTTTTTATTAGAACTAATTTTAAAAAATTAATTTTTTATTCTCTAAAAATTGCACTATTGATGTCTGCACATTTTTCTTCTTTGGCCTTTTCTCTTCATACATTTCTTTGTAGCAATGAATTGCATTTTTTACCGTTCAGCGAATTGTAAGGCTACATTCAATATTGCGATCAACTTCCATAATATGCTCTGACAAGGTTTCAACCATTCCAGTAATTTTTTATAGTTCAGCTGTTAATTCTTGTGCAGGCACTTCAACACAGTCATTGTCTAAGTTGTCCTCCTGTTCTTCACAAGCCCGTTGTTCATCTGTGGTAATAAGTCTTTCATTATCTAGTTCATTAGTATTCAATTTGATGCACTCAATTACGTTGACAGCATCTAACTTATTGAAACCAAGTTGCTGTCCAGTTTCCAGTATGTTATTAGTGACTTCAGCAAAATGAGTTTCAAAACCAATGAAATCATTTGTTTCATTCTGGTCCGTCACATACAATTACAAATGATAAAACAATTCCGTCCAGTGTGACTGTTGAAGCTTTTACTGCTTCACTTTTTAGCACCCTAACATGTTTCGGTCCCTATAGACCATCATCAGAGGGAACATCGATACTTTTTGAAACTACTATTACATTGGGTGTTTTGATTTTTAAAATACATAAATATACAATATTTGTAATATACACTTTATACAAAATCCAAATTTCTTACAACTACAGCAACTGTCCTTGATGCATTAAAGTTTTTTTAAAAACCTTTTGTTATTTAAGTTAAAATTCTTTAACCGAATAGGTTCGTTTTTCTTGACGGGGCCGAACTTGTACCGCCCGTCCCTCTTGGGAAGGTAGCTCTTGTTGTCATCCTATGTTTGCGCGTAGCGTGCTGTGTTGTTTTTACATGCTACGCACAAACATAGGATGACGAGCTACTTTCCCAAGAGGGATGGGCGGCACAAGTTCGGCCCCATCAGGAAAAACGAACCTATTCGGTTAAAGAATTTTAACTTAAATAACAAAAAGTTTTTAAAAAAACTTTAATGCATCAAGGACAGTTGCTGTAGTTGTAAGAAATTTGGATTTTGTATAAGGTGTATATTACAAATATTGTATATTTATGTATTTTAAAAATCAAAACACCCAATGTAATAGTAGTTTCAAAAAGTATTGCTGTTCCCTCTGATGATGGTCTATAGGGACCGAAATATGTTAGGGTGCTAAAAAGTGAAGGAGTAAAAGCTTCAACAGTCACACTGGACAGAATTGTTTTTATCATTTGTAACAATGAAATCATTTGCACAATATGGTATGATGTTTCCATACAGCCATCATATTGCTTGCCATTAATTCATGACATGCTTCGCCTATATTTTCGATAACGTTTCTGATGTTGTAGCTGTTCCAAAATTCTGTTAAAGTAGTGCTCTCCCCACCTCCTCCAGCGATAGCTGTCACAGCTCAAGAATGAACGACCCGAGCATAGGTACATACATATACAACGGGGAACGCTAGAAAAAATTGAAATATGCATCGTATCGCATAACTTTAAAACCACATGAAAATAAGCCACACAAAAAGAGACTTGACTGTATAAAGGGAAAAACTGATCATTTATATATTAAGAATAATTTTGTGTACTAATTTTTTAGAATTTATATTTATTTTGCTCAATTAAAATTTAGTTTGTTCTGAAATTTTCAAACCGGACTGATCAAAGCCAGACTATGCGAGGTATTGCTGTAGTTTTAATATGTGGTTCTCTCTGTTATATAGAATTTTGTTATTAATTACTAAATAGATTTTTTCACTATCAGACGAGTGTTAAAATTGTTTCCCATTCTCAAAGCAAACTATAACATCAGCTGTAAAGACTGCCTCAGGTTGGTTCGTCTTTATTCTCCAAAAAGGTCAAACTTCTTTTGACTCCTTACCATCAGACAGAAGAGAAACACCAATGGGTTGAAATGTCAAAATTAGATGGTAATGTACATTGTTTGAATGAGGTTCTCACAGTGGTGATATGAAGAATACCGTCTTCATGGACGTGACACTCTGTAGCCCAACACAAGTTCAGTGACGTCTCTTGTGTTGAAGCAAGAAGCAGTCAGGAACCTGAAGATGGAAGCAAAATGTTCCTCTCAAAGAATGGCAAACTACTGGACTACATGGCATCACATCCCAGAAGATGATGCTCTTCAGTGTAGTTATTGATCCATTCTTGACATTATAACATTGCTATATCATGTCTATACCTCTATATTTTGGAGTTTAGTGTGTTAGAAGGGTGCCTAATATGTATACCAAATTTGATACAAGCAATGTGATATTTCTGTTACAATGTATTTGTGATTACATGTTTGTATTTATTGCTCATAAATTTTGCGTGAGATTTTTGAGCAGATATTTGACTGCAACTAAAGGAGCCAGGGAGATAAATGTGAGTACTGTATAAATAATTGGTAAGTTTACTTAGAAACAAATGGAATAAAACTGACCTGTGCTTATGAGATCTCATGTCCACACAGTGTTCAATATTCAGGGTTATGACACCTGTAGGTTTATAGATAAGTGTTTCAGAGGAATGTGGTGCTTCTATCTTCAGGATAGAAGAAGGATGCAGGAGGTTCCTCTGAATCATTGGTACCACCAAACTACTACACAGCATCATATCGTAGAGGACTGAGATGCATGTATTCGGTTCCTTTGAGACATCTCTTGTCTACCCAACCAGATGGCATCACTTCCCAAAAAAACCTTAATCTTAATTTTTGTCCCTTGTTGTGGAGGTGTAAACAATCATATGTATTTAGTTGCCGCCTGTGTTGTGCATCTGTTTATTTTTGGGGGGGGATTCAAGTTGCATGGTTCATCATCGATGTAGAACCAAGTGCTCGATTTTCTCCTGCTGCTCCATCTCTGTTCTCTGTAGCGACTGGTACTGAATTCGAAGTCTTTCTAGTTCCATAGACTTTTCACTGATCAGTGCCTGAAGACAATCATTACAGACATACAGAAATGTTGTATCTCATATGTTTGAGATGGCTTGTTATTAACCTGCCTGCCACACTGAAAAATTTCACAGCCCAATTTTGGCTGTCTTCTGTCTTAAGGTAAAAGTCTGAAACAGGTTCCTGCCCCTGGATAGATATTAGGTACATCTAATGGACCTAACAGAGTCGTTTCATGCTTTTACATGACAGAAGCAGGGCCAGCATCCAAAACACTATGCTTTGACAAAAATCATACAGTGGAAAATGTTCAGTGTGTGACAGTTTAATGTAGAAACACTGTTTTATAATGTTGAATGGGTAATTATAATAATCTTTTCCAAAAACATTAATATGGGATACAGTCATTTTCATTTGTGTTCTACCTACCTGAAGCTGCTGTCGTTCAGCTTCTCGTTGTTTTGCCACTGACTTCAGAAGATTGCGAGCTCCAATTGCCTTCATTTTTTCCTTTTCCACCTCTTTGGCTAATGAATCAATCATGAAGATAAAACCATCAGCTATCTTCTGGAATTCAGTGATCTCTATAACAAGATATTTAAATGACTGTACTGACCTTTGGAAAGAAGTCCCATGGTGGTAATGACAGGGCTCCCTTTCTGCCTACTATTCTAGTCCCCTCCAGTCCTCTGTAGCCTATGTCAACCAGCCCAAAGCACTTGTCACTAACTATTATCACTACCACCATTTGTTTGAAGAGAATGGCTGAATGGCTGGATGAGAATACAGTATAGGGAAGTGTGCTTGGGGGGGGGGGGGGATGTGGCAAGGTACATTCCATGAGACTTCTTCATTTCTCTGGTCTTTGTATAACACAGTAGACTTGAACCTGTTTCAGCATTCTTGGGTTTTGTACTTTCTATGAAGTACATATTATTGCATTCTGAAAGTTTCCTGAAGAGCAGTCTGACTTTCATTTAAATTGTTTCTATACTTCCATATTTTCAAAGTAATTTGCTATTATCTTTGTGTATGACACATTATAGCAGCAAGTGATGTACAATAAATCCTACTGCCATTTTTATGTCTTGCTCTTAAGATCATAGTAAAATGCCTTTACTACAACTGTTCTTCTTATATGTTTCTTCAGATAGGGGAGCTATGCTACAAGCCAGAAGGTTGCGGGTTCAAGTCCCGATGAGGTCATTGGATTTTTTCAATTGACCTAATCCTTCCAGCTGCAATATGGCCCTGGGATTCACTCAGCCTCTTAACAGAAATGAGTACCAGGAATTAAATAATATTCCTGGGGCTGTAAAGTGCAGCCAGCACGTAAGGCTGACAACCTTACCACCATTTTTGAGCCGACTGTCTAGATAATGTGGGACCCTCAATGTCTCACAACCCTATAGGCCTTCTAGCCTGGTACAGGGATGACTTTACTTTTAAGTGGATAACTTATTCAAATCTTAATTTTGCAGGCTGGAGTGTATGCTACAAATTAGTGTGGGAGGGAAAAAACATCTGTTTACATTGCAATTGCAAAAGTGTTCATTTTACTTTCTCATGTAATACAAGAAGGTATTGCAATGATTTATAAAAAAATATATTGAGGATTTGATGGGCTTACACATTTTCAGCCTCCCTTGATATTAAGTGGTTTTTGGTGTGCTGTTTAAACACAGTGCATGGAAACTCCTGCTTGTCTATTTCTGAATGGTTACCCTTTATTTTCATACCCCCCCTCCCCGTGTATGGATTATGCTGCTGACTGCTGTGTATGACAGGTCGAGTGTGGATAGTTTAAGACTAGGATATTTTTACTGTTGGCATTTGTCATGTAGTGAAGTTTGTAAGGTATGCCTGACTGGTGAGGCCTAAATGAGCCTCAGGTGCAACAATCAATCTTAGTTTTTGGTATTCGAAATACATTTTCTCGACATCAAGATTACAAGTTTATTTTACAAAATGTCACGAAAAGCGCTGAACACAAATTATGTGCACCTTGAAATTTGTACGCAAAGAATACATCAACCCTCCCCTCGATGCCTTATAGAAAAGTCCCCGACAGAGTGATATGTTCTGTATATTCGATATTTACTTTCCACAAAGTCTCTGCATTCTTCTTTTAGTTTATTTGTTTCTTGTGCTGCTTCAGGTTCCAGGACTCTTATTTTACTTAATTCGTCAAAATACAACCCTGCTTTAGCTAGAGAATCCGCCATTTCACAACAAACACTTCTACCAACATTGAATTAAGAATTTAAGTAGGAGGTCCACGCAGCAATGGCTATGATGAGTTTTGTCTGCTGGGATTGATACCTACAGTCCAGTGAAATTTATCGATGTTCATCTTCAGTGCTAAAGAATTTCTTTCCGGCCTACTGTACATTTTGCCTTGATAGACCCAACAAGAGGCTGTTTAATATTAAACCCATAAAAGTACTTGAATTTCAGAATTTTGAAACTACTTACTGTGTAGAGTGTATATAGAGCATATTAAAAATCTGATTTCTGCATGCAGAGTGTGTTAATGTGTATCTCATGGTTCTTACAATAAACGTTTGTGTTCCTAGACAAAATTAAAAGGTTTACTTTTGTATCGGAGATACAAAAGATATTCGGAAGAAAATCTTTAAAGTGTTAATAGGACTGCCATAGAATTTTGGCTGCACAACTTGCTTATGGAAATTAACCAATAATACTGCTCATAAATTACCTTTATAATTGGACAGACCTACTGCAAATTATCATTGCTAGTTTTTGTTCGCGTTTATATGGCTTGTCATGATATTGATCTCAAATCACATACCCCTTATCGCAAACAAATTTAAAGGGACAGAAGCGTTCACATACGTGAGGAATCCTTGTGTGTTTTTTCATGTGAGAGCTTTTATTGACATTCTGTAAAATGTTGCCGGTTTACTCGATTTTAATATTTAATGCCACGTCATATTTTACGTGCGCGTTGCAGTACATAATGTAGGGCATCTAATTTGAACGATTACTACCGAGCAAATTATCTGAAGTGGTAACAGTTCTGACATATACTCAGAGATGCTGGTTCGAATTTCGCCTGCCACACGGACCATGTCAGCCGAGTTCTTTTTCTTCCAGTCCCTCGAGACAAGTTCCGGGAAAGTACAGAGCGATTCTAAATTATTGTCAGTTTTTCCGTTTACAGGCCACGGAAACCCAGACAATAATTCTGAATCATTCTGTATTTTCAAGGAACCGGGATAGCGCAGTCGGTATGGTCGGTATAGCGATTGACTACGGGCTGGACAACCGAGGATTTGGAGTTCGAGTCCTGGTAGGGTCAAGAAATTTCTTTCTCCAAGTCGACCAGACCGGCTCTGGGGCTCACGCAGCCACTTATCCAATGGGTACCGGGGCCACTTTCCCTGGTGGTAAAGAGGCAGGGGCGTGAAGTTGACTGCTCACCTCCAGCTAGCGCCGAGGTCAGGAAAATGTAGATCTATACATCTACTCCCCCATACGCCTTCATGACGTAGTGTTTAATTATTTAAACATAGGGACAACTTTACCTTTTTACCTCTACTTTGAATCTGTTGGATTTGAGGTTTTCACATGGTCATTATGAAGAATTCCCTCTTCTGAAATATCACGCCATGTAGTTCGATGAAAGGCAATCTACATTTCGGAGGCAGCAAACAGACCCTGAAGATGGAGGCGATATATTCTTCTGAAATTTCTATTAACTTTCACCGGTTTATACGGTGTTCTATCCCAGAAAGTATAGCTCTTATTTTAAATCAGTCCATGACAGCTTCCTTCTATGGCTTTTGCAATTTGTTGTCCTCTTTATGTCAACGTTATATAGCATAGACTAGCATAACATATTCGATAGATAAACCACAAAGAAATAAAATAGAATGAGAGATTTTGCACTTCTCATGTATGACATTGACTTTAAATCCTTTCGGTGATAGTCTCTAAATTTGGAATTGAAGAAAGACACTGTATACATGGAATAGACCGTGTAGTCTACGAAATTAGAGGACATGGCTGAAATACGAAATTTATTTTGCATGCTTGGATGACAACTCCAGTTCTGTCAACACAAAATTGGGATGAAGGTTCGGTCGCTTTCTTAACTTATATACCATATAATAAAAATATGAGTTACGTAACTATTGTAAGGGGGTTGGTAGAATCTCGAGAAATGTATGTTATCGGCAGTGCTAAATTTTCTCATTCGAGTTTCTCTGAGATAATCTGCATTCAGTCATCGAAGGCAATCTCTCTCGGTGCCTCATTTCACGTTCCAGCAAACGTTCGCTGATTTCAGTGGTTGAACTCGTGTTTAAAATGTTGGCTATTGTGACGACTGTGACCGATTGTGACAGTTCAATAAAATGCATTAAGTTGGAGATCAGTTTGCCGTTTGGGTTTCGAAGTCCGTGTAATCAGTGAATGGGGAGACAAGTGGTTCAGTAAAGTTCAGTAACTTGCGGAGAATCGGAATGTATGGTAGCCTAGTAGCAGAGTGAAGGGAACAGTTGGTGCTTAGAAGATCATACGGGTCTAATTACGATAGAAATCTGGATTATATTTACTTCAATTAAAAGTAGGCGTTAAACTGTTACACTTAGTAAGAATAAATATATATCTTAAAATTATTAGACCAAACGTTTGGGATTGCTCGACTATGTCGGGTGATCATAAAACTGTAATTAAGGGCAATCCCTCCCAATATGTTAAACTCAATATTGGTGGATCGTTACATTACACCACCATTGGAACTTTAACTAAACATGACACAATGCTCAGAGCTATGTTTAGTGGCCGTATGGAAGTATTAACTGATTCTGAGGGTAAGAAAAACTCTGAATTCGTATACTGAAATATTTCTTATCGAAATATAACAGTTTCTCTGTTTCATATGAAGCTTATGAGTTAGGAGTTCCATTTAAAATTGAAAGACTTTAGTTTGTAGATTATTTTCGTTGAAGGCATTGTAAGTCTTCAATATGTGTGTAAAGGCCATAGGCAAAAGTTTTGTATAATGGGCTTCATTCAATAGTAACTTGCTTGAGTTTAGTTTTTACTTCTGGTTAAGAAACCCAAGGAGGACGCTGTAATTGAGCGTGTTTTGTAAAGATGTTGTAGTTTTGTGTCTGGAATTGAATGGAAGTAATTGTAATATGATGGCAATACTTGCAGTTGCAATACATGTTCTGTTGTGATTTACTTTTTTGAATCTGTATTGGCAACTGTAACCTTGTGTATTATACATCAGTGTGATTTCTTAAACAAAACTTTATTTCCACCAAAGACTTAATATCAGATTTCACAGTTTCTGTGTATGTTCTGTATTGTAAGAATTTGTTTTCAGGTTGGATCCTTATCGACAGGTGTGGGAAGCACTTTGGAACGATATTGAATTTCCTACGAGACGGGTGTGTTCCTTTACCAGAAAGTTCTAAGCAGATGGCAGAATTGCTAGCTGAGGCAAAATATTATTGCATTTCCGAGCTGGCAGAATCGTGTGAACAGGCACTTCTCAAGAAGGAGCGTGATGCAGAACCAATATGCAGAGTTCCACTTATCACGTCTCAAAAAGAGGAGCAGCTGCTTATTAGCTCAACGAGCAAGGTAGTATGGCTCCAAAACCTGTGTGACATTGGTGTGGTATCATTGCTACAGCACTTTTTATGGTCATTAGCCATTGTCTGTGTTTTTAGTAAACCCTTGGGTTCCTCAGAGAGCATGATTAGGTTGACCCCCAATATTATGGTGTGGCCTTGGTTCCTTGCGGATTATTTCTGTCATTGAAAATTACTGCATTCGGGGATGTGGTACCATGTAGTTTGGTAGATCTTTACAGACATTTTGCATGAACATAGTGCATTCATCTTCTGTCTTGAAGATGGAGGCTTCAGGTTCCTTCAAAGCATCAGTAATAATCTACCAGTCTACACTGCATCATATCCCATCTTTATGGTCACTGCTTTGAGAACCTCAGATCTGACATTTCTATCATTTATTTTATTATGTTGATTAACCTGTTTGACCTGTCACTGGTTGCAGTTATTGTTTTCTGTTCTTATATAGCTTCTTTATTTCCTGCTTGCTTTTATGTTTAGTGGTTCAGAATTAACAAATGGGCCCTATATAGTAGATATCTCCTGTCTCTGGTCTGAGTTTTGGTTGAAGGTGGAAATAGTCAGTTTAAAAAACTATGTAATTTTTTTAATTTTAGAACATAGCAAATAATGCCCAAACATGTGTCCTTTCAGGTAAGGTAAAACAGTAAAACTGTCATTCAAGGTTTCTTTGGAGAGCAGTGGATTTATATACTAAAGCGAGAGGAGTCTCAAATGCAGGAAATGGAATGCATCAATAACTTTTTGGTTAGCTGAAGTCAAATGTTGAATGAGAGGAAACCTGAAATGGGGGATACACATGCACAAGTGGATAGGTAGACAGATGTGCTCTATGGAGCTTGCTGTTCAGAATATGAAACAAATCACTGTACATTACAGTAAAGTTAAAGGTATCTCTGTAACAGGCCGTGGAGGCCCATATGGTTGTGAGACATTGAGGGTCCCACCTTATCTAGACCAGTGTTCTGCAACCTTTTTTCTGCTCGCGGTACACCATGAAGTATCCATGACTCAACACGGCACATCAAAATGTTATTCCCCTCAGAAACGCATGATATCAGACAATTAATATAACTTCGTAACGTGATCAACTTAACTATAATATTATTATATTGTTATTTTATTATCATTAAACAGAAATCGACACGTGAAAATATTAACAGTTAATGAACTTTAATTCACTGTAGAGTGTAGAAAATACGCTTCTGTTACTTTCAAAGTAAATACAGTAATTCTACTCATACATTCAATGTGATACTTGCGCCTGCTTAGCTGCACACAGGCGACTGATCCGTGGTGGAATCGTTGACAACGCAAGTCTCATTTCTTCATCGATGGATTTGAGCTGCTCCCTCTTTGATGTCTTAATTTCAGTTAACGTCGAGAAGCCCAGTTCACACAAATATATAGTTGAAAATGGCACCAACACTTTAGCTGCCATCTCGGAGATAGCCGGGTATCCACTCCTTATTGCCAACCAAAACATACCCAAAGGCACATCAAGAAGTTTTAGTTTCAATGTTCTGTCTGCTTTTAAATCTGTGAGTTCCTCTTGTATATTAATCGGAAGATGTTCTGAATTCACAACAAATGGATCGCGAACACAGTCAAAATCTTGTACACTCTCTCCAAAATACTTATTGAATTTCTGCTGCAGCATTTCTAAATGTTCTTTAATTGTGTCCCTCACCACTTTACTGCCGTCAGCAAGTGACCATACAGTCGGGGACATCTCAAACGACCCATCTGTAATTCTCTGACTAACAACCAAACTTTGTGAACTACTTCAGAGCACAGCTGTGATAGAACTGAAACAATTGTAAAACGCTGGATCTCTACTCTTCAAACGGAAGAAGTGACACTATACCGACTTATTTTTTAAATATTTTTAATTTTAAATGAAGTCCAACAATTGGGTGCATCGTTACAGGAAGAAAGTCATAAAGTTGAAGAAGCTCTAACTTCTAACAAACGGGCAAATACTGAAACAGCGTTATAAAAGACAGGAAACCCCATGCTAATCCCTGCAGTTTTGGGGATAAGCACGTACACAGAACATGCGGCAAGCGTATCAAAGAAGCTGTGTCGATGCGAGAAAAATAAAAATAAATAATTTACGTTTATACAACATTACTGTACATAAAAAAATCACAGCATGTAATAAAGAATAAACAAGCTTCATCTTATTTAATCAGTGCAGTGGCTGAGAATAAAATACAAACACATGAAACACGGTAACTGGGATAAAATAAAACGAATAAAATTCGACAATTAATTTCTTACAATAGGTAAAATTTCACGTCACACCTTTCACCTTGTGATGGCACTCCGGTTGCGAAACACTGATCTAGACAGTTGGTTCACAGGCGGCTGTAAGGTTGTCAGCCGCCCTTAACCCCCCAGGAAGATTCCTGGTACTTCTTAATGTTAGAGCCTGAGTCGACCCCAGGGCCATAATGCGGCTGGAAGGATTAGGTCAGTTGAAGAAATCCACCTCATCAGGAATAGAACTTGCATCCTTCAGGCTTGTAGCATAGTGCCTCAACCAACTATGCTACCATCTGCCCCTTGTACAATACAGTGCATTGAGAAAACACCAAAAATGTGATGTCCCTAATGACATAAATGCATAAGATACACATGAATAAACTTTCATGCTCTCAGCATGAGAGTGACTTCTGTAGCTAAGTAGATTCTTGTTCATGAATCATGAGTTCGAGGGGGTACCCAAAAGAAACCGAACTTATTTTTTTTAACTTATTTATTCAAATTTTAAGCACAAACCTTCAATCCCCTTCAAAGTACTCTCCACGTACACTAATATGCTTGTCTAGTCTTTTATTCCATTTTTCAAAACATTGTCTAAATTCATCTTTTGAGATGCTTGACAGTGCCTCCGTCGTTTTTTCCTTTCATGTCTCTTTTCATTCAAGGAAACAAAAAAATGTCACATGGGGCAAGGTCGGGTGAGTATGGAGGGTGAGGAACAGTGGTCATACCATTTTTGGTCAAGAATTCAAGAATTGTCATACAGACAGGGTTGTGTGAGCAGGGGCATTGTCATGATGGAAAAACCAGTCAGCCGACTGCCACAAATCTGGCCGCTGAGCTCCAAGTCACTTGCGACAGCTCCACAATTTCTTCAATGGTCCATCGTCGATCTTCCTTGATGATTTCACGAATTTTTTCAACATTTTCATGTGTTCAGGCCGTGGAAGGACGACCAGAACGAGGTTTGTCATCAATTGACATTTCACCATTTTTGAAACGGGAAAACCACTCAAACACTTGAGTTTCCCCATAGCATCGTCCTTGTACGCCGTTTTTAACATTTCAAGAGTTTCTGTTCCACTTTTCCCGAGCAAAAAGCAGAATTTCACCGCCGCACACTGTTCACGAAAATCAGCCATTGCAAAAACGACGATCACACAAAACAGTTGTCACTATAAACTCTACCGAAACTAGTCCTTACCTTCTGAAGCAATGGTAGTCGGCTTATCGACTCAGGAATGTTAGCTCTATGCACTCATAGTGGTAAAACGCGGTACTACAAAAGCTCTGCCCACAAAAAAATTAGTTCGGTTTCTTTTGGGTACCCCATCGTATGTATATATTCTCTGCCTATAACATCTCTGAGAGTACATCATTATCAGATATCAAAACATACCAGTGTATCATTATTAGAGATGAGATTCAATGTTAATCATACAGCAGGAACTGGAATTGTGATGCTGGTGATTTACACAGGATCTTTGTTCTGTAGCATTACGTACCCATGGTATGATATACTGTTACATACTAGGCAGAGTGTGCAACATATTCAGATGATTTTGATAATACAATAACCATCTCATGATTTAACCCATATTGGCCATGCATTTTACAATTCATATGGCATGTGCACACAATCCAACTTGCCAAGTGCACCATTTTTTCAACACTAATATCATTATCCATAAACTCAAATATGGTGAACTCTCTATTATCTGATGTAATGGAGAAAGGGACACAGGGTAGAATAGTTGGTTGAGGCACTATGCTACAAACCAGAAGGTTGTGGGTTCTATTCCTGATGAAGTCATGGGATTTTTCAATTGACCTAATCCTTCCAGCCGCATTATGGCCCCTGGGATCGACTCAGCCTGTAACAGAAATGAGTACCAGGAATGTTCCTGGAGGTAAAGGGCGGCCATTGCGTAAGGCTGACAGCCTCACCGTCATCTGTGAGCCGATTGTCTAGCAAATGTGAGAGCTTCAACGTCTTACAGCCCCATTTGCCTCCATTGCCTGTTACAGGGATAGCTTTACATTTTCTAAAGATGAGATGTGGAAGAACAGATAGTTAAAAACTGTAGGTAATGCAAACATTTCTAAACACCTTGTGTCCGTGCTGCAATAAACTCTGCAAATCACTTAATTGTCAGTGGCAATGCTATTAGTCTCTAAACTGTGAGACAGGTGTTGCAATAACAGACAGCAACCTTTGCCTTCAGTGGTAGTAGACAAGTATGAATAACAGTATAGTGATAAGTCAGAAACTTACAGCAGAGTGAGATGATGTACAGTCTACTGCAAATGATTGTAAATCTTCATTGATGCATATTACAGAAACACATGTAATGGGCAATACAGTGAAGATTAATAATCAACATAAAGAAAATCATGATATTAAGCAGACTTAAAAATGCCTGTTTTTATATTAGCAAAGCGACAGTTTCAGTGATAATATTTTTTACAAAATACCCAGGAACCACTAGTAAGATGTAAAGCATATTTCCAACAAGACTAACATGTGTTTTTTTTTATTTCAGCCTGTTGTGAAGCTGCTGATAAACAGACATAATAACAAATATTCATATACAGGGTGAGTGTCTTAGCATATAAATAGTCTGAGTAAGAGAAAATATGGCATACTTTAGCTGTGCCTGCTGTTAATGATGTTGACCATTGTATTAATAAAGCTTATGGTAATTTTTCTTTGCAGTACATCTGATGACAACTTGCTGAAGAACATTGAGCTATTCGACAAGCTGTCTCTACGGTTCAGTGGACGAGTTCTTTTTATTAAGGATGTCATTGGATCGAGTGAAATTTGTTGCTGGAGTTTCTATGGTCATGGCAAGAAAGTTGCTGAAGTGTGTTGCACTTCAATTGTATATGCCACTGATAAGAAACACACAAAGGTAATATTTCATTTCCATTGCCATCAGATGTAGTTACCTAAGGAGAGCAGTGTTTATATTTCTGGGCGTCAAAGGGTTAATGCACTGATGGGCAGGTGACAGTTACTGAGTAAGAATGTACCTTGTCCACCTGGAAATGCATTAAATTCCACCAAATGTCCCTGTTGAATGGGTAGCACTACTTCATATTCAGTAGGTCTTGGGTTTGTATGTCAGTACATAAACCAGTTGTCCTGCCGCTGATTTTTCTCACTTGCTCCAGGCAAATTCCTCAGTTTTCTTCAGCTGTTCAGGCAAATTCCATGAGAGTATTGTGAATGGGACACAATCACATTCTTATACATCCTTTCCAATTCACTATTCTCTAGCCATGCTGCCATTCAGTACCATACAGTCTCAGCTGCTGGCACCATTGCTGAATAAACAATTTGTATTTGAGGAAACTATGTTGTTCTGAAGATATTGTCTTCAGGGTGTAATACCGTGTAGTTCAGTAGAAGGTTACCAGTATTACCACAGTTGATCCATACTCATCTGTCACCACCCCTTGAGGCGTGTGATAGCCGTGACTATTATCACCTCCTCTAGGTGGTGGCTTCATCTCTGACCCAACACTTGGCAAGTTACAGAATCAGGACATTTGTTATAAAAATGTTAATAAACTGAAGCTATATCCTTTCATCATCAACATCATCGTTGTAGTTTATTTTATCTCTCTTCCAGCATGAAGTTCATTTGTCTTATTTTGTCTTCACTTCAGGTTGAGTTTCCAGATGCTCGCATTTATGAAGAGACACTCAACATCCTTCTGTATGAGAACAGGACTGGTCCTGATCAAGAATTAATGCAGGCAACTTCTACTAGAGGAGTAGTTTCTGGAATGTCATCGTACACGAGCGACGACGAGGAAGAGCGCTCAGGTTTAGCACGACTTCGATCTAATAAGCAGAACAATCCTTAAATATTCACACAGTATTTGTTTCAACATTAAATGTGTCCTTGTCTGGAATGTGTATCAAAGGACTTAAACGTCTATATCTGTGAGTCATAAGTTTATATTGAAAGTATATTTTTATTTATATCTTATATGAGTATTTTTTAGGGGTTGTATGCTAGAAACATATGCCCCAATATAAATTTGTTGGTGTCACATTTTTGTAACAGACTGATTAACATTCAAAGGGCTGTAAGTGGCCATGTTAAAAATGTGGAACTAATAATTTACTGTACATTATATTAATAAAATAATAATATGAAATTTAGTAAATGCTTTGTTAGACCCTCTGTAGATTTTTATATACCTCACTGTCTGTGAAAGTAATTGGACAAAGTTACCACTTCTGCCGTCAGAGTCTTACATGCAAACTGTTAATGAACCTAGATGGATTGATATACAGCATGCAGATAGTAATGCACAAACATCTTACTTCAAAATAACAGTTGTAAAGTACCATTGTAACAGCCGATGGTACTTCAGTGGGAATTTTCATTATTTGTTACATAAGATTGCTTCATATTAATTTTCCACCATTTCTCCCATATTCCTTTCCAGTCCTGTGTTATCGAATGTTGCGTTGAGGCCAATATGTAACACATTCTCCCACAAATAAGATTCACAAATGGTCAGTCATAAACCTCTCCTTTATATAGCATACTCCACATCACATATCAACATCAAAATAGTGTGACGTGTTGCGCTAGGGTAATAGGCAGGTCAAACCCCCCCCCAGTGGTGACGTGCCGAGCCTAGTCGCTGTGTTTGCTAATAGCCTAGCAATGCTGTTGGAAGTTGTTTACAGCTATGTAGCAACTGTGGCATCCCATGTTACGTAATGGGTACCGCTGTTTACTCGCTTTGCCTAGCGACCAGTGTGCTTGGACTTGGCTCACTTTGGCTCCGCTCGGCATGTCACGGCTGGCAGGGAGGGAGGGGCTTCCTCCATAGCGCAACACGTCACACTGCTCCCACCTTAAGGCTGTTCCACCCGAATAGCCTAACGGTGCACCTCCGTTCCTTTCCTTTGGAGGCTAGGCTCGGCACGTCACTGCTGGCGGGGTTGGTAGGTGTTGACCTGCCTATTACCCTAGCGCAGCACGTCACAATATTATCAGTGTAATCAATAACCATGTAACAGACATGATGCATGAAAACAGAAGAGTGCTCACACATTTGTGTGTATTCATGCAGTGTAACTCTTGACAGTTTGTTGCTATGGTAACTTGAAACTGCATAATGACACACAAAATTTTTTGTTTATGCAGAAGGATATATTGAACCAATCCTAATGCTGAAACATGGATTCTTACAAAGAGAAGCAAAAATAAAGTCTAAGAAATTGGTACAAATTGTTTTAGAAATCTGTGGGCGACAAGAATGGGTGAAGTTAACCCTTTCACTGCTAGCATGTTAAGTAACTCTCAGTACCCTCTGTGCTGAATTATTTTTGAATACATCTTTTATAAATAATTTAACTACAGGAGATGATGATGTACCTGGAGATGTGCTCAAGTTACTGGGAGAAGGTGGTTTGAAAACACTGACAAAACTAATAAACACCATATATAAAACTGGGGAGTGGCCCAAGGACTTTACAGAAGTGACAATGATTGTCTTAAAGAAAAAGACAAAGGTTCAAAATGCAGCGACCATCGCACAATAAGCCTTATTGCACATACAGCAAAGATAATAGCAAAGATACTTAAAAGAAGAATTGAAAGGAAAATAGAGGATGTACTTGGAGAAGATCAGTTTGGATTTAGAAGAGGAAAAGGAACCAGGGATGCAATTGGGATGATGAGAATTATAGCGGAACGAACTTTGGAGATAGATGAAGAACTGTGTGTTTGCTTCATAGACTGGCAGAAGGCATTTGACCGGGTAAACTGGACCAAATTAATGCAGATCCTGAAAGAAACAGGTATCGATTGGCATGAAAGAAGATTGATTAGCAAATTGTACATGGATCAGAAAGTTAGAGTACGACTGGACACGGGGGAGACAGGAAGTGTGCAGATTGGAAGAGGAGTTCGACAAGGATGCTGTTTATCACCAATTCTGTTCAACTTGTACAGCGAATGCCTTACCAAGGAAGCTCTGGATGGGCTCGGTGACTTCAAAGTAGGAGGGCAAATTATTCAAACTGTGAAATATGCAGATGACCTTGTGTTAATGGCTAAGGAAGAAACTGTGCTACAGGGCATGATTGATAGACTAATTGAAATTGGAAGGTGCTATGGCATGGAAATGAATGTGGAGAAAACAAAAGTAATGAAAATTTCGAGACAACCAACCCCAGTCACAATAAAGATAGACCAAAAACAACTGGAGAATGTGAAATGTTTTAAATATTTGGGTAGCTTGTTAACAGATGATGGAAGGTGTACTTGTGAAATTAAATCCAGGATTGCCATGGCAAAAGCTGCATTTAGCAAGAAGAAGAATCTTTTTACCAGCAAATTGGACTTAAATTTGAGAAAGAAACTAGTGAAATGCTACATTTGGAGCATTGCTTTGTATGGGGCTGAAACTTGGACACTTAGGGCAGTAGATCAGAAACACCTGGAAAGCTTCAAAATGTGGTGTTGGAGAAGGATGGAGAAGATCAGTTGGACCGATTATGTGAGAAATGAAGAAGTGTTAATTAGAGTCAGTGAGCAGAGGAATATCCTACATGAAATAAGAAAACGGAAGGCTAATTGGATTGGTCATGTTTTACGCAGAAACTGCCTTCTAAAAGAAGCTATCGAAGGAAAGATAGATGGGCGGATAGAAGTGACAAGAAGACGAGGAAGAAGACGTAAGAAGATGCTGGATGACCTTGGGGACAGAAGAGGATACTGTCATTTGAAGGAGAAAGCTCTAGATCGCATCAAGTGGAGGAACTGTTTTGAAGAGACTGTGGACCTGTCGTCTTGACAGATTACAGATGAAAGAATGAAATAATTTAAGTGCAAAGTATGAAAATTTGTGATAAAATGTAACTGATCTCAGCTCAGACAGGGAACAGGCATCAGAAGTTGCAACAGTGTTAAATTATTCAGTGTTTTTCACAGGGGAAAAAGCCATTTAAATCAGGGTTGTCCAAGATGGCCAAAAAAGTACATAATTCACTATCCTAGTCTTATCACTATGTCACATGTTGACCAAAGTCCACAACCTTATTTAAAACTATTATAGAAAGCACTGTGCACTATACAAAGACATTTTTACTAGCCCTGTGAAATACCCGCTCCACATGACCACGGAGCACGTGCCTCGCTGTGCAGATTCAATCTTTTACGTTTCTTAAGCTAGAGGGCAGAAGAATGCAGCCATTGAAATGAATGATGCTTAATTACATTCCCAATAGATGACTCTATGCACTCGCCAAGTTTGAATGAGATTAGTGCAAACCTGAGATTTGAAACTCTAAATTTGCAATATGGGTTTTGTTGATCGCAGCAAGGATGCCATGTTTTTCAGAGATCGACATATGTCGACCACAGCAGTGTAAGGGTTAAAAATGAAAATTTTTAGAAAAGAGGTTAGGATTAAAAAATGATTTGGGAACTTTGGTTCCCAGGATTAACACTGAAAATGCTGTCATTCGGCATATAACTTAATTTGGATACGTTATTATGTTTATCTTCTTCTAACCACTTCCCTTTCCCTTGCTGTCTCTTATATGCAGCATGACTATTACCAGCAGCCATCTTATCAGCGCGTGATGTCATATGCTGGCATCTTGCATATAGAATTGTTTCATGACACCTGAAAGCTGCAATCTGATCTTCTGTGGGCAGGGCTTCACTGAGCACATTGCCAAGGTAACGAGGTCAACAATAGAATTTTGGTTACTTAGTAGCCAAGGTCTCAATAATCACAACAGCAGAGAAATCAACTGTTAGACTTGGTGTCATGTATTCAGTATGTCAGAACCTACCTCAGAGAGAGAAATGACGGGCAGAATATGAGCTAAGACAGTATGAAAGAAGACATAATACGACAGAAGTCGGAAGAAGAAGTCATAAATTAAGTCTTTATTTTATGTGGTGTTGTTACAGCAACCTTTAGAGTGTTATCATTGTTTGTAGTTATGAAGTGTTACAGTCACAGTAAGATTGTGATACAACTAATTGTAGTTCTGCCTGGTGAGTATCCAGTAAATCAAATCATCTAATCCAGAACCCATGAATTGTCACGTTACCAGGGTGCGTGACAGTATTGCATCAACCACTAAACAGAGGAATTGAATTAGTCGTATTTGTTACAAACAAATGGTCATAACTCCTAAACCGTAAGCGATGGACCAAAATGGGTTGCATTTCTGAGAAGCTCACATTTATTAACACATTTCACTCACAATATGTCCTGATGCATCTCTTAATGTTTTGGGTAATTGTATAAACAATGTACAATTTTATTTTGGGAATAAAAAACATCAATTTTGGATATATAAGTCTTTATTCTTTCATACACATATGACTTTAATATAATATACACCGTAGGTCTCGAGTTATCAGTGGTTACATAAGAGGTTGCACAAGTGTTACACTGAGTTTCACTTATGTTACACTTTTTGTTACTAATGGCTTCATTCCATTTGCACCCTCATATAATAACGTTTACAATGTTAACATTTTTTAATATATTTAGAAGGGAAATGATCAGAGTCTTTTGACCATGTAAAAAGCATGTACAGAACATGGATACCAAGAAGGGCATTAGAATTTAAATATAACAGAAAGAGACCTATGGGACAAACCCTGCCTCCATGAGAAAAGACAGAGTATACAAGACTACAGTCTGCCATAACCCAGAAGACTACAATCTGTGTAGTTAGCATTATGATGACCTCAAAGAGTATGTAGTAAAGTATCTTTATTGACCAAAGTTAATTTAGCAGAAGTTTCTTTTAGAACATCAATTTCACATTGTTATATATTGTGTTTATGTGTGTAGTGACCTTCGTATATTGTCCCTCCATATATTGGACAGACAGGCCGCTCCGTGGACATGAGGTTGAAGGAGCATCAGCGGCACATCTGTCTTGAACATCTGGACAAGTCAGCCGTAGCTGAACACAGTCTCGATCTGGGACACCGCATTCAGCTTCAGAATACCTCCATCCTCGCTACCAAGACCCGATATATGGATCGCATCATTAGGGAAGCCATTGAGATCAAACTCCATTCCGAAAATATGAACAGGGAGGGGGGGGTTGCCTCAGCAAGTCATGGAAGCCTCTCATCTGTTCCCTAAAAAAACCCCCCGGGACATGACGCCAGATCCACAAGGCTACACAGGCCATGACCGACTAACATAGCAACCCCCACCCCATCCCCACAACTCCAGCTTAAGGGTTAGTGCCATCCCTTTAACCTTGCCTTTCTTTCCCATGACACAATATCATACACAAATCCTGCTTCTGTTCCCAGCCCCTTCAACCCTCCCACTCCACTGATTTCCCATGTAGACTTGCCCGCCCCCTCCCTTCACTGCTCTCACATAGCTGTGTTTATTTCCAACAGCAGTCTGCTTTTACCGGTTCTCACGGTCTCTTCGTTTGCGGATTTCTTATTTTTCCTTCTACCCTGAAGATGGAGGCGATACGTTCCTTCGAAACGTCGGTTAACACCGCATCTACACGGTGCCACATCCCAGAAGACTGCTTTCTTCATAGTCACCGCCGTGAAAACCTCGAATCTGCTCAAATCTTACATATATTTCTGTTTTCAAAATAAAAATATTCCGATATGTGCTTGATGCTACCAGCTATTTCTGCCAATAGGAGAGTGATTCGTGGGAGTGGGGCGGGGCCGATGTGCGTCATGTTACGTAACCGATTTTTACCGAACTGAACCGACCTCACGATGTGTTGCTTGCTCTTTCCGCGAAAGTGATGACGTATTTTATCTCTGGTGATGACGTTTATAAACACATCATCGCAATACGGTGCATGAATCACAAGGTTAGTGAGATTAATAAAGCGTCCGGTTGGTAGCTGTGAAAGTGACTGGAAGTGTCATTGTTTGCAGGCAAGTTGATAAGTAACTGATAAGCTAAGGGTAAGTGTTGAAGATTTGAAACATCAAGTACTTTAAAATATTTATTAAAAGTTAGGAAATGGGCGTGGCTCCTAGGAAAACCGCCGTGAACGCAGGAACAATCTAGGTTACATACAATTTTCCGTCAATAATGCAACTATTTATTTCTAATTCGAATTTGCTTTCTCTATTAACACAACATGTGTCGGCCCCAAATGGCCATTCTCAGGTGTCTCATTATGCCAAACCTGCTGCACTGCACTGAGTATTGCTCATTCCACAAGGGGGTAACTGAACGTTTCGTAATTAAAATGTTACAATTGCACTTAACTGTTGTGCGTTAAAGTCTTAAAATTATTGGGGATCGTCAGTGTGGGTTCCGACGTAACAGATCATCTACAGATCAGATCTTTTACATTCATCAGCTATTGGAGAAAAAATGGGAGTACAGTGAGAGAGTACATCAGCTATTCAGCTTCAAGAAAGCCTATGATTCATTTAGGAGGGAAGTATTGTACAATATTCTGATAGAGTTTGGGATACCCATGAAACTAGTTAGGTTGGTTAAAATGTGTTCAAACAAAACGTATAGTAAAGTCTGTGTAGGTAAACGTTTGTCTGATAAATTAACTATCCAGAATGGTCTAAAACAAGGAGATGCTTTATCGCCACTCATTTTCAACTTTGCCTTAGAATATGCCATTAGGAAGGACCAGGGAAACCAGGTGGGACTGAAATTAAACAGGATCCATCAGCTGTTGGTCTATGCCGATGATGTGAATCTACTGAGTGATAATATAGATATCGTAAAGAAAAACACACCAACTTTAACTGACACAAGTAAAGAGGTTGGTCTAGAAGTAAACATAGAGAAAACTATGTATATGCTGCTGTCTCATCATCAAAATGCAGGACAAAATCATGACATAAAGATGGGAAACAGATGTTTTGAAAATGTGGCACAGTTCAGATATTTGGGAACAGCAATAACAGATTGAAACCTGATTCAGGAGGAAATTAAGAGGAGATTGAACTCAGGTAATACTTGCTACCATTCAGTCCAGAACCCTTTGTCTTCTCATCTGCTGTCCAAAAACATAAAAAATTAGAATATACAAAACTATAATTTTGCCTGTGGTTCTGTATGTGTGTGAAACTTGGTCTCTGACATTAAGGGAGGAACATAGACTGAGGGTGTTTGAGAACAGAGTGTTGAGAATATTTGGAGTGAAGAGAGATGAAGTGACAGGAGGTTGGAGAAAACTGCACAGTGAGGAGCTTCATAACTTGTACTCTTCTCCAAGTATAATTAGAATGATGAAGTCCAGGAGGATGAGATGGGCAGGGCATGTATCACGAATGGGGGAGATGAATGTATATAGGATATTGGTAGGAAAGCCAGAAGTATAGAGACCACTAGGAAGACCAAGGCATAGGTGGGTGGACAATATTAAAATGGATCTTGGAGAGACAGGATGGGATGGTATGGATTGGATTGATCTGGCTCAAGATAGGGACCAGTGGAGGGCTCTTGTGAACACAATAATGAACCTTTGGGTTCCATAAGATGCTGGGAAATTCTTGAGTAGCTGCAGAATTGGTGGCTCCTCCAGAAGGGCTCAGGTCCATGAGTAAGTAAGTAAGTAATAAAATTCCTAATGTCTGCACACGCGAAGACAACACCACACGTGGTTTGTGGGAACAACGGACAAGCAAGAGACCAAATTGCAGACAAAACATAATGGGTTTGCATATGGAAAGGGTGAGCAATCTAAACAACTGCTTTGACAAATGGATGACACCCCATAGGAGGTGGAATTAGGAGTTTATGTAATAAAAACTTTGACGATTTTTAATTGATTTTAAATGGGGTGAACTGTATGTAACATGTAAGACTCTAACACACAACATTTGAGTGCAGTTGTAACATTTTAATTACAAAATGTTCAGTTATGCGCTTGTTTGGCATAATGGGACGCTTAAGAATGGCCATTTGGGGCCAAAACATGTTATGTTAATAGCGAAAGCAGATGTGAATGAAGAAATAAATAGTTACATTATTGATGGAAAATTGTGTGTAAACAAGGTTGAGTATAGTAATGCAACAGGATGCTTAAATACAAGATTGCAGGCACAGTCTTCAACAGGGTCTCTAGAAAGATCAAAACTAATCCAACATGCATATGAAGAGGGCAATAGAGTAAGCTAGGATGACACTAGGATTTTGGAAATTGAAAGTAACAGCAGGTATAGAAAATACAAGGAATCTTCCAATATGGCATGCTGAACCAATCCAATCATCCAACCCAATTTGGACATTTCTCCTATCTGGATCCACTTCATCAGCAATGAGGTTTCTGATTCTCAAAGGAGATTTGTATGTATGATGCGACAGATTCTTCAGGGGTTTCCATAAGGTTTCAGTCTCAGCTGTTCAGGTTTTGTTAGATAGCACTTGTTTTCACAATTTTTTCCCATTTCTTTGCTTTGGTGTTCATGCACCTGGTTTTGTTGGCTAGGTTTGTAGCAAAAATTTCTACCTCCTTTTCTATCCTAGATCCACGCCTGTGCGTATTCTATCACAATTTTTATTGTGTATTTTCCTGTTATATCCCACCGAATTAGCCTGGTCTCAGGTGATTAAATAGCTGTATGAAAGTGAAAGGAGTAGTCAAATTAAGTTGAGCTGAGTGTGGAGGTGGGGTTGAATGCCTCCACCAGAGCCCTGCAAGTCATAGAAGGCAATGAAAAGGAGAGTCTCGACTCTGAAACAGTAAAATATGATCGGGAGGTCCACGGGACTTGGGCCCGAAAATGACTGCAATGCCAGCAGCAATTGTAAACAGCAGACCCGCCCTCTCATAGAGAGTGCCCCACATCAACAAACCCGCAACTGTCTGACAGTAATCAAGATCCATAAAACCCTGGTGGGTGCTGTATTCCAAGACAAACTGGGTAACTGACAATCAATTGTAACATAAGACTCAGACCCAGACAGGGGTTGTCCAGAAATCGAGGTTCACTTCTTCTAAGGGGCCTAACTGGGCCATGCCAGAGCTCAAGCGGTTAGTCGCTGGCTTCCCACTGCGGTGGCCAGGGTTCGATCCCGGGTCTTGTCAAGTGGGATTTGTGGTGGACAAAGTGGCGCTGGGGCGGGTTTTCTCTGAGTACTTCGGTTTCCCCTGCCAATCTTCGTTCCACCAATTGCTCCACAATCACCCTCACCTATCATCTGGGGCTGGTACAAGAGGCCAGAAGTGGCCACAGTACAAGGGACTTGGTCCCACCCCACTAGCAATAAAAGAAAAGGGGGCCCAACTGAGTAGGTGTCTTTCGTCTCACCTGAGGATGGAAAGAGTTCTAGTTTCCAAAGCATGTTTACTAGTCTCTTTAATAAAGGACGATGAAAGAAGTAAAAAACCTAGTAATTCTAAAAATAAGTTGGCTCAGAATTGCTTGATTTTTGGACTTTGACCAATGTCCGGTATTCTAGAAATTAGTTGCACACCATTGTCAGAACACTTTAGAAAAAGGTAGTAGGCAATTTCTTTATTAGAGTCTGTCACAACACAACAGTATAAAGGTCAAGGCTAAAATTAGCATGGCTACATGTTTCGACTATTAAAGCCATCATCAGGCAAACACACGATTACTGAACTGCAATTGAGATGGTAAACCTGGATACTTGATAATACATTATAAAACATATGGTGTAAAATTACAGTGAACTATAAACTTATTAAAACAAAAGTTATGGCATAAAATAAGGCTAAAACTCTTCATGTGATATTCTATATCATCAAGTCAGTTGTTGCAATTTTGTTATATTCCCACAGACTTAATGGTATATTCAGACTTGTATACATGTAATAAACTGCTTGGAAGCTCATGGTATAGGTGTAATATAGTTTAGGCATTAATTTTTTAGCCGGTGCCTCATCTTATAATGTATTTTGTCCATTCTGTAGATAATATAGATTGCACGTGTTTGCCTGATGATGCCTTTAATAGCCGAAACATGTAGCCAAGCTAATTTTAGCCTTGACATTTATATTGTTGTGTTTTGATGGACTTTAATAAAGAAATTGTATACAATAACACAACAGGATGCACAAAATGAAAAAAATAATAGGTAGTAGGATTTGGAAAGAAAATAGGGAATATTTATCTGCATTGTCAGTCACTGTACTGTTAATGTTAAGGTATCTGAAAGTTGTAAAATTGAAACAATTTCCTTTTATTGCAGGTCAAGGATAATGAGTTACCCTGGCTATCCTGGATATCCACAGGTAGTGACAATTTTCATATTCATTCTTTGTTAAGAGGGGATTCTAATATTGCATTATGCATGCTAATTTTGAGATCTTAAATTAATATTTATAAAATCCACGCAATATTAAGATGTATGGAGAAGAGTTGTAACATTTGTTATGCATGATATTTTAAAACACACCGCTTCTTTCACTCCTTCCTGCATGTTTGTGTTCAAGTTTCAGGTAAAAATGAGGTAGGAATAACTGACATCTGTCATTCTAGTGTACTTCTGTTTTCTGTAATCACTGATAGAGAATTTCATCCAGGATGCTTTTTTGCTCTAGGTTTAATCTTTCACATTAGTAGAGCATTATAACGCAGAATGTTTTGCAGACATTGGACCCCTTAGACTGCTAGGAACAGTTGATAGCTTTCAAAATATCAGTTTGTAAGCAGAAATGTCAAACAGATATTCAATATTGACTGTTGCAGAAAATTTGGTTCCACATTCCTGTTGCATGTACTGACACTGACTTGACTTCATAGAGCAGAGTTGTTATTTATGAGCTTTTGAGCCGTGACACCTTCCAGTCTTGTAGCCTGATACATTCAGAGGCCCTTGATGCCTCCATGTTCATGGTTGAACTCTGAGGATGGAGGCAAGATATTCCTCTGAAACACTGCTATTGACCTACAAGCTTACATGGTGTTGAATCCAAGAAGACCAGAGTCTGAGAAATTGCTGGTTTGGAAATTTAAACTGTGTATCAGCTAACAGTTGCTCAGCTAATCAGAGAAATTCCCCTCCTTGTGTGTAATCTGAAGGTTCATTACTATGTTCTTATAAGCCATCTGCTGGACCCCAACCCTGAGCCACATAAATCCAGCTTAACCCCTCTCACACTCATTTTGAGACCTATTTTAATATCCTCCCATCCATGCCTTAGCTGGGATGGCGTAGTCAGGATAGCGACTGCTAAGGGCTGGATGACTGAGGGGTTGGAGTTCGAGTCCTGGTAGGGTTAAGAATTTTCTCTTTTCCGAGTCCTCCAGTCTGGCTTTGAGGTTCACCCAACCTATCCAATGGGTACTGGGGGCTCTTTCCCCGGCGGTAAAGCAGCCAGGGCGTGAAGCTTACCACTCACATCAAACTAATGTTGAGGTCAAGAAAATGTGGATCTGTACATCCACTCTCTCATATGCCTTCATAATGTAGTGCTTAGTTAGTTAAGCACAAGGACAATTTTACCTTTTTTTTTTTACCCATCTGTGCTTTAATCTTTCAAAAGGTTTCTTCTAATGTGCAGAATTCTATATACTCATTTCAGTATAGGATGCCAAACAAAGTTTGCTGTCAACCAGTATCGGTTATTTGTTTCTGCTTGGCATGTAGAAGGATTTCATTATATTTGGTGAACTATAGTGTGTTGCTTTACGAAAATAGATCAACTTTATAATGCATGATAAAAGTACAGGGAGATCAAGAAGTTGTATACATCACACTAAGCAATTATATTTTGCTGGTTTAATGCACAGCATTTTCTATTAATGTTTATAACCTTACATCTTAGAAGTGCAAAATCAAATCATGTCTTTACAACATATGCTCGAAATGGCTTCCCTGTTAAGCAATGCAAATGTGAGCTCTTTTTACCATGTTTGAGGCCACTTTGTGGAGCACCTGTAAACTGATGCTGTTAATCGCTGTCATAATATTCCTCTTGAGGTCATCCAGTGTAAGTGGATTGTTTTTATAAACAATTCCTTTGAGGTACCCCCAAAGGAAAAGATCTGCGTCACATGCATAAGAACGACTGGCGAAATAATGTTCCACAATGAAAAATCGTTGTTCTTGGGAAAATGACATGTCTGTCACACAATAAACAAAGCTATGCTGCAGATGTCATATGACTGATACATGACAGATGGCGTTTCTACTCGTTGTTACTCCTACAGTACCATCTAGCGGTAGGAGATATAATTATGTTAACTGCAATACAATTTATTACTTTTAGTTTGATGTGCGCGACTTTTTGATCTTCCTGTATAGTGATACACCATATGGTGACGTGTGTATAGCACAGCCTCATGTTCCCTTTAATAGATATGGCAAGATTCTCCATAAACTTTAAAACATAAATTCCTTTTACTAGAGAAGTTTGCATGTAACATGACAGTTTTCTTTAAGAAACGAAGAATTTTGTGTTTTTGTTTGAATATGGGATCGCCTTAGTGGTCTAGTGGTCAGAGTTCCTGGCTACAGATCCAGAGGTGCCAGGTTCGATTATCGGCGCTACCAGATTTTCTGAAAAGTAATGGGTCTCGAACGGGGTCCCCTCAGCATCATGAGGATAATTGAGGAGCTATTTCAAGGAAATAGCGGCTCCAACCTAGAAAACCGAGATTTACGGTCATCGGGATCCGTTGCGCTGACCACGCGACACCCTCTATCCACTAAAGTTGGCACTCACTTCTCCGACAAGTGGCGGTCGTTTGGTCGGTATGGTTCACTTGCTGACTACAGGCCACGGAATTTTTTTATTTGAATATGGCTAAAACAGTTATAACTTTGAGTGTGATTATTGACAAGGAAAAGAAACCACAATTTTGTGTTCATATTGTAACCTTCTGGATTGTGGCACTGTGTAGTTTTATTGGTTGTTACCAGTATTTTAGAGCAACATACTAAAGATGGAAAGGGGGTCAACACAGGTAGACACCCACTAGCTAGTTCTGGAGCACTTTATTTTGATGAAGCTATTTCCATTGTCTTAAGATGTCATAACTGTTATTCCCAACAACCGTGCATATAATAGTAAATTCATGACCCTGCCTTGTAATAATTTCCTTTCAGTATCTCTTGGTCATTCCCCTGGGCTTTTCTGTTAATTTGGAGCATTTCCTAGTTCTGAAAAGCCATTTCCATCCATGAACATGCTGTCTTAATGTATTACTCATAAGATGGGATAATATTTATATAAAACATTAGTAACAATCTACCAGACTACACTGTTTCATAACCCAGAACACCGCAATGTGAATCTTAATTGTGAAAACCTTAGTCACCTAACATGTCAAATTTTAAATTTAAACATAGTCATCATTGGCCATGTTAGATGGGTCCTTGTCACCACGACATGGCGCGTCCTCAGGTTGCAAATGTGTTTGAAAGAAATGTATAGTAAGTCCTTATAGGTAAAATTTGTCTCATAATTTTCCTATCCAGAATGGTCTAGAGCAAAGAGATGCTTTATCACCATAGCTTTTCAACTTTGGTTAAGAATATGCCATCAGGAAGGTTCAGGAAAACAAGGTGGGGCTGAAATTAAATGGGACACATTAGTTGTTGCTCTGTGCTGATGATGTGAATCTGTTGGGTGGTAATATAGATACCATAAAGAAAAACACACGAACTTTAATTGACGCTAGTGAGAGGGTTGTTCTACAAGTACACACAGAGAAACACAGTATACACATTGTGTCCAGGATGTGGACTCATTTTTTAAATTTTGCCCTGCAATGCCATCTGTTGGCGAGTTGTGGCATTAAGATTCTTGAAGTTTCAGCTGTAGCTGTCTTTAATTTCAAAGCGCAAGTATCGCTGCATCATGTGTTCTGACCTTGAATGTAACAGTACTGTTCTGATGCTCATTGGAAAATGGCGGTTGAACAGAGAGCCAACATCAAATTTTGTGTGAAGTTAGGCAAAACAGCTGGAGAAGGGTATGAAATGATGAAAAGTGTGTACGGTAGTGATTGTTTGAGTCGCTCGAACATTTTTCAATGGTATGCTCTATTTCGTGATGGCAGGGAGGACATTGAAGACTCTCCACGTGCATCAAAGCAGAGAACAAGTCGCACTGAAGAAAATGTGAAAAAAGTGACCGATGCAAGGTCTGTGCGCAGTTTGTACTGCACGCGCTGTCAGGCGATGAAAAACATGCCAGAATGGAACACTGCAAAGACATGTTACGGTCAGCCCAAAGTGATACAAAATTTACAAAATCGGATGTTACTGGTGACGAGACATGGTGTTTTCAATGAGCCTCTCACAAAGCTGAAGAGTGAAGCGTGGTTGAGCCCAAAGAAGCCGAAACCAAAGAAAGTGTGCATGAGTCGAGTAAAGACACTGCTAACCATTTTCTTCGATTCCAAAGGAATCATTCACAGGAAATTTCTGCCAGAAGGTCAGACAGTGAATTCTGATTATCTCGGAGTCCTCAATCGTTTGTGGGCAAGAAGTCTTCGAATTCGACCTGAATATCGAGAGCAAGGTTCCTGGTCTCTCTTCCACGACAGTGCCACACCCTACAAATTGAAGATTGTGCACGATTTTTTGGCCAGAAAAGCGATCACAGTCCTTGATCATCCTCCATATTCGCCAGATTTGGCTCCAACAGATTTCTGGTTGTTCCCAGAAGTTAAGTTGGCAATGAAAGGAGACCATCACAACACCATCCAGGACATCCAAAGGGAATGTACCGCAGTTTTAAATGTGATTCCACAAAAGGAGTACTTGTACAATGACTGTTTTCAAAACCTTTTCAATCTATTCCAGCTACGTACTTATTCAAAAGGAGACTATTTTGAATAAAAAGAGTGAAATTTTGAAAATAATTCACATCTTGTATTTTTAATGAACCCAGTCCTGACAGAACTTGGATACACTGTGTATGTTGCTCTCTCATCACCAGAATGCAATGGACATAAAGATAGGTAACAGGTGTTTTGAAAATGTGGCATAGTTCAGATATTTGGGAATGACTATAACAAATCAAAATACGATTCAGGAGGAAATTAGGAGGAGACTGAGCTCAGGTAATGCTTACTGCCATTTAGTCCAGAATCTTTTGTCTTCTCATCTAAAAACTTAAAAATTAGAATATTCAAAACTATAATTTTTCCTGTGGTTCTGTGTGGGTGTGGAGTTATTATTAAGGGAGGAACATAGACTGAGGGTGTTTGAGGACAGGGTGTTGAAAATATTTGGACTGAAGGGAGATGAAGTGACAGGATGTTGGAGAAAACTACACAGTGAGGAGCTTCATAACTTGTGATTTCTCGAAGTATAATTAGAATGATCAAGTCAAGGAGGATGAGATTGGCAGGGCATGTAGCATGAACGGGGAGAAGAGGAATGCATATAATTTATTGGTTGGAAAGGGACCACTAAGAAGACCAAGATGTAGGTGGGTGGACAATATTAAATTGGATATTAGATAGGATGGGATGATATGGATTGGATTGATCTGGCTGATGATAGGGACCAGTGGAGGGCTCTTGTGAACATGATTATGAACCTTTGGGTTCCATAAAATACTGGGAAGTTCTTGAGTAGCTGAACAATTGGCTGCTTCTCAAGAAGGGCTCAGCTCCATGAATGAGTGAGTGCATCATCATTTGTCCTTTGATGAGCTGTTAGTACATCCCTACGTAAATGTACAATTGATGTAATATAGTGGAGTGAAACTCTGTGTGTTAATGCTTTCTTAGCGCTGATTTCTTTTTCTCTTTTCTTTTTAAGGCTGGGTTTGGAATGCCACCTCCCCAACAGCCAACTCCTGGCGTATATCCTCCACCTCATCAAGCTACTGCTCAACTTAGTTATCCGTTGAATCCTGGATTTGCTGGGCAAATAAACCCTCCTGGTCCTGGATTTGCTGGTCAAATAAATGCTCCTAGTATGTCACAGTATCCTCCATATCCATCATCAAACACTTCCATATATCCTTCCAGCAGCAATCCACCATGTCCAGGTTATTCGCCTCAAAACCAGGTTGCAATGTATCCGCCCACAAACTCAGTTACGCACCCCAGTCCTGTATATCCACTGTTGACACAGTCCAGTTCTCCTTATCCAACCTCACAGCATTGTTTCCCTACTCCAGTGCCGGCTACTTTTGCACCGCAGCCTCAGCCATATAACCCTGTTACACCTGCTTGTGTTTCGGCTGTTGGTGCAGGCACCCTGAGCATGATTCAGGGTGGCCATAGCTTGAATAGACCTGGCTCTAATGTGACGCACACAGTTCGTTCCACATACACAAAGGTGAGGAGCATGAGTTACTAATAGTCACACCGATCCAGTCGAGTCAAATTGAGTCTGCCTAACTAAGATGCCATGAAAATATATAATTTGGGACAGTAACACAACAAATGATCGAAAAGAAACAAAATAGACACTACGGTGTCAACATTTATATTTATTCGTTGGTGGTAAGGCTACATGTTTCAACCCTTTTTGGGTCATCTTCAGGCATACACGAATTCTGTTTTGCTTCTGAATTGAATCATTAATCAGTATGAATTCATATTGTGTCTGTATTATTCTATACTATCAATTATATCTTAATTTTAAAATGTGGTTCCATTATAGTTAGAACTAAACATTAAACTTTATATTAAATGGATAAAAATTAAAATTAGAATTAAAATGGCTATTAAGGCATTTATAGCCAATATTAAAAATTTTAATTTGAAACTTGTGCCTGTTGAATATCGTATGTCTGTTTGTTGTGCCACTGTGGTAGTGATATTGTGCTGTGGGGTAAGTGCTTGCTGGGACATTTCTTCAGAATGTAGGTCGTGTTGGTTTTTTTCTTTTTCGACCTTCCTATTAAACGTGTAAAGACTGAACATGTTTGGGGTATCCCATTGGACTGGGACGTTTGAATTTGATGTTATGTATATATGCAGATCCCCTTGATGAGTGTTACTGCTGTGCTGTTTTTAATATTGTTTATAAATACCTTAATAGCCATTTTAATTATAATTTTTATAAATTTAATATCAAGTTTAATGTCAGGTTTTAACTACTTTTGAACGACATTTTAAAATTAAGATATAATTGTCAGTATAGAACAATACAAACACAATATGAATTCATACTGATTACTGATTCAATTCAGAAGCAAAACAGTATTCGTGTATGCCTGAAGATGACCCAAAAAGGGTGGTCGAAACATGTACCGTTACCACCAACAACGAATAAAAACAAAGGTTGACACAGAGTGTCTCTTTGTTTCTTTTTCATTGTTTGTTGTGCAAGTGTCCCAAATTATATCTTTTCGTAAATGACACACAGTAGGATGTGTCTCATAAAGGTCTGAAGATGCTATGAAGGCAGACCTGTTGACTTTGTGTAGAATTCATGTGTACGTGTCAAACTACACAAGTCTTGTCAGATTGCATGAAGGAGAGTGCCTCCCCTTGCAGCATCTTCATGGGTCCAGCTCTCTTCAGTTTGACCAGGATGAATTTGGTTGGTGTACAAATAGCCTTAAAGACTGAACTTGTTGCATGGAGCATGGTGTATGCTTGTGTGTGCCTTAGTAACACAAATTTTGCACAGTGAAGAATTTATCCTATTAATGAGATTAGATGAAGCAATTGTATCAATCAGGAAATTTAAAATAAACACATTTTAATCATAATGTTGTATTTTAGCATCCTGTTGCACTGATTTTCATCCATGATACGTATGTAATGGCCGTCTTGTAGTGCACTCAGTTTCATATGTTGCTTCTTACTACATGTTTCGGCAACATAGTGCCATCTTCAGGTTCGTTATTTACGCTAAGCTATTACATGGTTTGCCATCTTGTGTCTTTCATAAAATTATTTAGAAAGTACATTGTTCGTCAACTATAATAAAATTTGTATATACTAAAACTTGTTAAGATATTCATCTATATGCCTAAATTCAAGCTCGAGTATAGTATGGTTTGTCCACTATGGGAGTCGTTTCTGTGTGTACTGTGTCTGTGATGTGTCCTTCCTTTTTGGCTGCGAGCGTTGTAGTGTTGGAATGGTCGGACATCAAGTATACGTGAATGCCGTCTCCAGTCTATTAAAATATGGTCACTGGGGGAGTTCGATACTTCAAGAAGGACTGAGCTCCGTGAGTGAGTGAGTTAGTGTGTGGGTGAGGGAATGAATGAGTGAGATGAAGCAATTGTGTTTTCAGGGCACTCCTACTGTGACTCCTGTTGCATCATTCAATCCTCGACAAGATGCAGAAGTTCTACGAAAGGCAATGAAAGGTTTTGGGACTGATGAGAAAGCCATTATTAATGTCCTTGCAAATAGGACCAATAGCCAAAGACTTGAGATTGCGGTGCAATTTAAGACGCTGTATGGGAAGGTATGTGGAATATTTCTGTTACTGCTTCAGCTTGTGGTTGGTCTGTATGAAATACTGTAGTTTTATGTATTTTTTATGTATTTTATCTATTTCATGCCATTATTTTTCTTTTACATTTAGAGTATGAAATGGGTTGACACATAGAGATGCTTTGTCAGAATGGTTCCTGAAGTGAGCTTTATGTTCCAAACTGTTTTGTGTGATCATTGTAATAGCCAGAAGTAGAGAAGAAATTCAGTGATTGCAAATCTTAATTTTGCAGTGTCAGTTTTCTGAAATTTAAGTTGGTATGGGGAGTATACAACACATTTTGCTTGCTTTCGACACAAATAATCTACAGAGGCACTATGCTACAAGCCGGAACGTCGCGGGATCGAATCCCGATGTGGTGGTTTTTTTAAATTCACCTAATCCTTCCAACCGCACTATGGCCCTCACTCAGCCTCTAACAGAAATGACCAGGAATATTCTTTGTGGTAAAGGGCGGCCAGTGCGTAAGGCTGGCAACCTTACCGCCATCTATGAGCCGGTTGCCTAGAAAATGTGGGAGCCTCAACATCTCACAACCCTATGGGCCTCCACGGCCTATTACAGGGATAGCTTTACTTTACTTTATTTTTAAGTAATAACTAATTCTTTTCATGCTTTGGGAAATCGCAACATGCCACTACTAGCGTATGGAGAGAGGAATGGTAAAAGGATATGGGAGAAAGGAGGGAAAGAAATAAAGGCAAGAAAGGGACATAGCTGTGGAAGAATCAGGATGATGAGCTGGTTAAATGTTTTTTTTTTTAGTTGCTAATGGGGTGGGACTAAGTCCCTTGTACTGTGGCCACTTCTGTCCTATTGTACCAGCCCCAGATGATAGGTGAGGGTGATTGTGGAACAGTTGGTGGAATGAAGATTGGCAGGGGAAACTGAAGTAATCAGAGGAAACCTGCCCCAGCGCCACTTTGTTCACCACAAATCCCACTTGACCAGCTCCGGGATCGAACTTATGCTGCCGCGATGGGAAGCCAGTGACTAACCGCTTGAGCTGGGGTGCGGCCCTGGTTAAATGTTAGGGAATGGACGGAAGGGGAAGATAAATGACAAAAATTGGATAAATGGGGATGGGAAAACAATATAGGAGAATGGAAAAAAATGTAAAGCTATCTCTGTAACAGGCTGTGGAGGCCCACATGGTCATGAGATGCCAATGCTCCCATATTTTCTAGACAGTCAGCTTACAAATGGTGGTAAGATTGTCAGTCTTATGTGCTGGCCACCCTTTGCCCCCAGTAAGAATCCTGGTACTCATTTCTGTTAGAGGCTGGCTCAACCCCAGGGCCATAATGCGGCTGGAAGGATTAGGCCAATTGAAAAATGCAGTGACATTGGGAATAGAACTCGTGACCTTCTGCTTATAGCGCAGGGTCTTAATCAACTACACTACCACGTGCTTCGACGGGAGAATGGAGGGAAGGAAACAAGGGTTTGAAAGGAATAGAAGAAATTTTTTTTTTGTATCATGTTTGATGGATCATGCACTAGCATTAAAATAAACAGGAACCAGTTATATGGAGTGATATATATTGTTTTCATTTAGAAATGTGAATAAATAAATACATAATTATTTTAGAATATTACACTTTCTTTTCAGCATTACACATTCCTTGTCATTTCATTATTTTTGCAAATAAAATTACTTTGTTTAATGAATCAGTTGTTTTGCCTTCCCAAATCAGAAGTATTGTTTATTGTCCGTCTTCCTGTTGGCAGGACTTGATATCAGACCTGAAAAGCGAACTCAGTGGTCGTTTTGAGGACTTGATTGTAGCCATGATGACACCACTTCCACAGTTTTACGCTAAAGAATTGCATGATGCCATAAGTGGAATTGGTACAAATGAAACTACGCTAATTGAGATACTGTGTACCACAACCAATCATGAGATACACACAATTCGAGCTGCCTATGAGAGAAGTAAGTAATACTATGTATGAACCTTAAAAAATTCGGCATTGCACCAAAGTTATATGCAGCTGTTCCTCTCAACACTATAGCTCAGTGGTAACTGTATGTACTACCTATTGTAACAGTAAACAAGAAGTTCTGGGAAGAACTAATCTCCTGTTTTCCTTTTATATGATACAGACCACAGAAAATGAAAGATATAGGGGGGGGGATACACATACAGACAGCAAAGTGATCGTATAAGCCACCTTTTTATGTTTCCAAAAATAAGGAAAGTAGGCTAAAAGCTATTCATTTTGACCATGCATTGTATGTATGTGCTTCATGTGATTCTCACAATAAACAGTGATTTTGAGCCAGGCTATTTCTTTTTCTGTAAGGTGGGAATTTCTTTTTTAAATATTGTTCAAATGAACTTCATTCATCACAGGTCTGAGCAACAAACAGTCAAAAGGAACTACACATTTGAAATCAGCATTGTGAGTTGTATAAAAAAGAACCCTCTCCCCATATACAGCCTGAGAGTACATTTATGGTATCTGAAGCAAGGAGCATACTGGTAGCATAATCATATATCATTGAGGTACATGAAATGCATCATTGTATAAATGTTTAGTTCTTTCTTTTGATGGACGGTAATTCATGTCCATCTTTTTTCCTCTTACATAATGACAAATAACCTTGCTTTTCTAGACCAAGGTCAGTGCAGTGAATTGAAATATTGTAGGACAGATGAATGAGGAAAAATGTGAAGGTAATACTGATCACAGGCATTTCATGCTCCCTGTTACGAAGTTGAGAATAGTTAGGACTGAAATATCTTTCAGAAGTAGTTTGTAAATATGAATAAGTATTACAAATTAGTATGACTCTGTTTTTAATGGGAAATAAATCTATGTAGAAATGTGATATGGTTGCCTGTTTTCTTCTCAATACATTTTGTAGTATCAGAATTTTCAGAAAAAACTCTGTTTTTGATTGTCATACAGCTCAACTATTGTATTAATAATGTATTGTTGAAGCAATAGAAATTTAATAGAAATTTCTGATCAGTGGCAGTTGTTTGTAAGCAAATATATGACCGTCTAAATGTTATAGGGCAGTGTACCTATGAAGACTGAAAAGTAATTAAGTTAATTGTCTAAAAAGGATCTGTGAATGCTGAATTTTTTAAGTTAATTATTAACGTTTTATATTACATTCTGGTATTCTCAGATTAAGGTTTCCCCTCATTTAATGTTCAATTTCAGTGATCCCAAACCAATTATCTCAGTGTTAAATTTCCTCTGTTTAAGATTCTCTTCTATTTAAACTTCAAATCCAGTGCTCCACAAAGAAGCCTGAAATGGAAGTTTCACTGTATTAATTTGCACTAATTTATTTCTTATTTTGTTAATTATTAAATTTGATTAAGTTACAGATTTATTAATGAAAATTAAATGCAGTTAAAATAAAGGTGTGACAAAAAACAATTAGACATTTTAAGTTACGTGATTTTGAGTTATGCAGCTGCTCTTGGCAACATGACTCTCATAAATTAAGGGAGACACATATGCTGTACCTCATTTTGTTTTAGATTAATGTATGGTTCATTTGTTTTCAGTGTTTCGCAGTTCCTTGGAAAAGGATTTGTCAGGCGATACCTCAGGAAACTTCAGGAGACTTTTGGTTTCACTTTGCACTGTAAGTTAATAATTCTGAAGAAATACACCGAGTAAACACAAGTGCTGTAATTTCTTTATGCCTTTTTTGGTACATAAATTGTGTTTAATATAAATATTGAAAAGGTGCAATTGGAAGGTTTGTGCTAAAATTAACAAAGCCACGAAATTAAGAATTTTTTTCTGTAATCTCTGGAGACACTCCATGGTAATGTGTTATCTAATAGGCTGCAGTGCTGAAGTATTGTGCCTGTTGTAATGAATTTCATATCTTCGTCTTGACAGCCTTGTGGGATGTGATGACTTGTGGTGTAGGTAGAGACATTGCAGAGGAATCTCCTGCCTTCGTTTGCTTTTGTCGGAGGGAGAACATTCTTCCAAAACAGTGGTACCTGTCTACCATTCTACATGGGATCAGAGCCCACAGGGCCATTATCTTAATGTTTGCTGGTGTGAGAACCTCAGACACCTTCTTATTTCAGATTGTGATCTTCCATGTTGTAACACCTTGTAGTCTTGTAGCTGGATAAAGACTGAAGAACATGTGGCATCCACCTTTGGGGTTGGAACTAGTTCTGTTATGTAGGAAGGTGTGCAAGGATAGTGGTCACTTATACCCATGGGATGGGTTAAGAGAATGGAGCCCATTTTGGGCCAGCATGATTAAAGGCTAGGAAATTTGCCATTTTCAGAGTCTCTACCTGCTTTTATTACAGAAGAGAAAATGGGACATAGAGCACTGGGGAAAGACGGTCCTTTCATGGTCTTCCTGGGTGGGAAGTGAAAAATTAGACCTCTTTTTTTTTTGAGTGTTTTCTCAGTAAGAAGTAAATGTTTTGTCCTTGGAAAGCACAGCCATCTTCCCTTCCTTCATTCCATGACCTTTTCATGGAGATTCCATGCTTCTTGTTCTTTCTGGTAAGGTGGAGTTTGATCCTCATCATTTCCCTTATCAGTCCTCCACTCTGAAGATAGAAACAGCATGTTCCTTTGAAATGTCATCCTCCTGCAAGACTATGTGGTGTCACACTTGAGATGATCACATTCTGAACAATGACTGCTGCATAAACCTCAAAACTTTTACACTTTGGATGGTCTTTTCTACTTGGGACACCATTGATGATGCTCAGTTGTGTAATTATTTATTAACTAATCACAACCTCACTATTGTAGACTGGGCACAAAATTCTTAGTTCATATCACTGTGTTTTTCCACTATTGTATGGTCATAATCAGGTGGTTACATGGATACACTGTAAATATATAGTCATTGTAGATACAAGGCTGTATTGCCTAACTCCATGGAGATGAGCCCTCCTTTAGAAGCCACTAGTTGTGCAGCTACTCAAGAATTTCCCAGCATTTTATGGAACTCAAAGGTTCATTACGATGTTCACAAGAGCCTTCCACTGGTCCCTTCCTGAACCAGCTCAGTCCAGTCCATACCATTCCATCATATCTCTCAAAAGATCCATTTTAATATTATCCACCCACCTGCACCTTGGTCTTCCTAATGGTCGCTTTCCTTCTGGCTTTCTCACCAATATCCTATATGCAATACTGGTCTTATCTATGCGTGCTACATACTTTACTACTATAATTAAAATTAGATTCAGTGTTGCTAATAAAACTGGTGCTCAGTCCAACACTGTAATATACGGCATTCTGGTTTGGTTAGTTTGTGTGTGTTTGGTGTTGGCTGATGGAATGTGGGTAAGAATTGCAAGGAGTTGAACAACTGCAGCATAGATTTATATTCTTTTTATTTGCTGTGTGGGAATGTCCGTTAATCTGAATGTGCTGTTGCAGGGCAACCGTGATGAAAGTTACACTGTAGACCATGCAGCAGCTGTGCAGGATGCGCAGACACTACTGAGAGCCGGTAAGTACAGACACTTCTACTGTTCAGGAGTCATCATTTTCAAAACATGTTTCCATTGGTGCACACTTAAAATGAACTGTTTTATCATGAGATGTGAAAAGGGAGCAATTACACAAGTACTATATCCATTGTTAATTATAAGATTAATAAAATATTAACAACTATATCTTTCAGAAAGATTTTAACTCTGGAATTTGTAATCATTCCAGTCACCAATCCTCACAGTCAAGTGGGTAGCACTCCTGCTTCATAGACTCAAATTTTTGCCCATGGATTTGCTATCATGAATGAGGTTTGTGTGGTATTTCTCACTCACTCCAAGCTAATTCTGGGATAGTACCTTAGATTAGGCCATGACTGTTTCCTTCCATATCCTTTATAGTTCATTATTTTTTAGCATACCATTTTATACTGTATGATCTGAGCTACTGGCGGTATCATTGAATAAAAAGAACAGACTAATCCAGTTCATTTCTCCCCTTATCTGCCTCCACGTGGTTACTCAATCTAATCATGGTCTTCACTTGTACTTGGTTCTTTGTTCATGCCATAATTTGGTGGGGAAAAGGAGTGATATAATTAATGTTTATCGTCACATTATGTTTGGTGTACTCACCAAATTTCCAACTTGTTTTTATATGCTAGGTGAGTTACAGTTTGGAACAGATGAATCGACCTTCAATGCCATCCTGTGTTCTCGCAGTTACCCACAACTTCAACAGATCTTCAATGAATATCAGCGTCTGACAGGACATGACTTTGAGAAGGCTATAAAGAATGAATTCTCAGGGGATATTGAAGCAGGCTTGCTTGCTATTGGTAAGAAAAACTTTATGCTGTCAGTCTTAGCAACTCTACTGGTCACTAACCTCCCAACTTAGCCACTTTTAATGGTACATTAGTGGTTTGCAGTGTACCATAACAAAGAAATGAGTAGCAAGTGATACACATAGATCCAGAGAACAGCAAAAGTAGCTGTATGAACTATCTACCAGCAGAGGGAAAAACTGTTGCTCCAGTTGAGTTCTGAAAGAGAAAATTTTGTCTTGTTGTGCCAAGGTACCATCTGACCTTGATCAGATATGGTAGTCTGGACAGAGCAATGGTAAACAGCTATGCTCAGGTGTGGGAGTACTGAGCGAATTTGTATAGCAGTGAGCCCTCTTGACTCATATTTGGGAGGTGCTGGGTTTGAATCTCAGCCAGGGTACCAGCTGTCCTGCCTGAGATTTCCTGTAGTTTCCCTAAGTCCATCCAGGAAAATTCCTCTGGTATAGATTGGGGACTGGTGGCACAGAGGAGTGGGATGTTGTCCAATGGACAAACCATGTGGTTGATGAAAAGAGGTGGTGTAGGAGAGGTGGGAAATGCATGGTTTTGGTGGGAAAACCATAAAGAAAGAGACGACCACTTGGCAGCATAGTTGTAGATGAGATATTAAAACAAAAGAATTGGAATGCGAGGGTGTAAAATGGATTCATCTGGCTCAGGATGGTGACCAGTGGTGGGCTGTTATGAAGAAAGTAATGGAACTTTGAGTTCAGTAAATTTATGAGAATACTGTATGTCCAAAAAGTATCCGACTTTATTTTTTTCCACTGTAAGTAATGGCCAAAGGGGTGGGGAAACTGAGCAGAGTGGTAGAAGGGACTTTCATGCACATGTGTGATTTTTTACTGACTTGCAACACTGCCAGATGTGTCTGTGGCTGCCAGATAGCGAAGTGGTGTAACACGTGTTTGTTGCATTCTCGTTTTGCTCAAGAGGACAGAACGCTTGGAGCAGCGATACTGCATTAAGTTTTGTCAGAAACTTGGGGATACCCAAGCGGAAACAATTCACAAAATTCAGCAGGCTTTCGACGATGATGCAATGGGGGTCACTCAAAGTAAAGAGTGGTTCAGCTGCTTTAAACATGGCTGTATGTCGGCGGACAGTGAGCAGCGTTCCAGCAGACTGTCAGTGCTGATGTCACTGAAAAAGTGGGGACACTGATCATGGAGGACCGTTGTTTGGCCATCCGTGAAGTTGCTGATGAGGTTGGGATCAACAGAGGTTCCGCAAACACAATTTTAACTGAGGATTTGGGCATGCGATGAGTGGCGGCAGAATTTGTGCCCAAGCTGCTTTCGCCAGAGCAGCAACAACTCCGTCTTGAGGTCGTGCAGGACATGCTGGAGTGCACCAACAGGGATCCTGAGTTCCTGAAGACTATGATCACTGGTGACGAGTTGTGGGTGTATGGATATGAATGACCCGGAAACCAAGGTCCAGGCGTCACAATGGAAGCATCCAACATCCCCGAGGCCCAGAAGAGCACGACAGGTTCGGAGCAATGTGAAGGTGATACTGTTTTTTTTTTTTTCGATTACCGGGGTGTTGTGCATCATGAGTACACACCACTAGGCCAGACTGTCAATAAGGAGTACTACCAAGAAGTCCTCCGGCATCTTTGTGATGCAGTTCGGCGCAAGAGACCTGAACTGTGGGACGCACACAACTGGCAGCTGCATCATGATAATGTCCCAGCTCATTCATCACACCTGATCCAGGGTTTCCTGGCCATGCACGGCATTCCGCAGGTTTGCCAGGCTCCCTACTCTCCTGACATGGCTCCTTGTGATTTCTGGCTGTTCCTGAGATTGAAGACCCCGCTAAAAGGCTGCTGTTTTGACAGCCGTGAGGACAGAATGCGATGGCGTAGCTGCACGCCATTCCAAAAGAAGCCTTCCAGAATTACTTCCAGCGATGGAAGGACCGCTTGGCTAAGTGTGTGGAGTCACAAGGGGCCTACTTTGAAGGCGATTAGGTATTGTAACCACCCAGATACAGAACTTCTTTTTCCAGGCCCAAGGTTGGGTACTTTTTGGACAGAGTAGTATCTTGACTAGCTTAGCAATGTTTACCTTCTCAGGGAGGTTTTGGCTCAATGGAATTAGAAATGAAGGGCTCAGCCTGTGAGTAGAAAAATCTGGCAGTGTTAAAGTGAAATGTTTTTTATTTAGATGTATTTTTTCCCCCCAGTGAAATCTGTGCGCAACAAGGCAGCCTTTTTTGCGGAGCGTCTATATGAAAGTATGGCTGGTATGGGTACTAAAGACCGAGCTCTGATTCGCATTATGGTGACACGATGCGAAGTGGATATGGTCGATATTAAGAATGCTTTTCAGAGTAAATATGGCAAGACATTGGAGAGTTTTATATCAGTAAGTGGCTTCATCTTATTGCTTGAAGTAATGATGGTGTGTTTTTGATATTCAGAGTTTTCACAGTGATGACAGTTCATTTTGTACAGTCTCGCTAATCTGGTTCTTGCTATTATCATAAAACTTGTTTCTTTGTATTTTATATAAAGTGATGCCATTTTACTTCTTTCTAGGATGATACATCGGGAGACTATAAGAAGTGCCTGCTTGCTTTGTCATCCCAATAATATGGATAATTCTCTGTCCATACTGCATAGCATTCAAAAGCTACATCCATGCTGCATATTCTAGCAGATGCCTTCTTGTTCTAAATATATAGGCCTATATACTACATATAAGATATATATACTTTTTACATTTTAGTGTGAAGTTTTTATCTCTGTACTGTACCTGCACACATTGTGCCTACTCAATATGAAGAATCAAACTATGAAAATCATAGTTCTTAATGATTTATGAGTTTGATCTTTGATAGCATATTTACTTGTGTAATGTCCCCCTTCTTATAATGTTCCTTCTTTTTGTAACTGATCACACAGCAGTTCATTTTAACTCTGCCCCATAGTACAGTTGAGGAACTATGGTTCAATTCCAAGTAAGGGCAAGGGCTTCCTCTCTTCCTCATAATGTCCAGACTGGCTCTGGGACCCAACCAGCCTCTTATACAGTGAATACTGGGGGTTGTTTCATGGGGTGTAAAGTGGGAAGGGCGTGAAGCTGACCACTTCAGGGTTGAGATTAAAAATGGTGGGGATTCATTCCACCATATGTCTTCATGAGGTGGTGCTTAATTAAGCACAGGGACAACTTTAGTTTCTTATATGACTTCAGTGCAAGTCTCTTGTTTTATCAAGAACTAACCTAAAGCATTTTGGTTTTCCCCACACATATAGTGAAATCTAGTATTTAGTGATATTTTTTTCTTGTCCCAGCAAGAGCCCAGCAGAGAAACAGTATGTATATCTTTTTCCTGTATTCTTTGAAGGTTGGTTTCGTTTATAACATTCAATGTAAGATCTTTTCACCTTTCCAGAAAAATTTGCCAGTAGTGCTGATTATGCAATATCGTTTATTTGTATAAAAGCAGTTTAACTACTTCTGTAAGTAATTCAGTGAATCATTACCTCCCAGGAAGTCACCACTGGTTCTGAGGAAGGTTGCCATGATATTAAGAATTATTTGAAATATAGTTGTACTCCTGCATGGTTTTGGCAAGTCAGATTTAAAATAGGTAAAAGGTAAAGGTAAAGTCACTCCTGTATTTAACTAATTAAGCACTATGCCATGAGGATGTATGGGGGAGTGGTTGTATATATATCCATGTATTATTGACCTTGGGCACTAGTGGGAGGTGAGTGGTCAGCTTCATGACCTGGCTGCTTTACCACCAGAGAAAAGAGTCCATAGTACCCATTGGATAGGAGCAACTTGGATGGGGTGCAGAACCAGTCTGGATGATATGGAGAGGAGAAAAATTTGCCCCTACTGGGACTTGAACACCAACCCCTCAGCTATCCAGCCAGTCACTATACTGACTGCACCATCCCAGCTCCCAGTTTAATATAGATTCTTTCATAGAATGTAGGGGGGTGGCATGCAGGAGTGTAGTTGGTTTAGGCACTATGCTACTAGCTGGAAGGTTGCGGGTTCGATTCCCGATGAGGTCATTGGATTTTTCAGTTGACCTAATCCTTCCAGTTGCACTATGGCCCTGGGGTCACCTCATCTTCTGAAAGAAATGAGTACCAGGAATCTTCTTGGGGGAAAGGGCAGAAGGCTGACAACCTCATCTCCATCTGTGTGCCAATTGTCTACAAAATGTGGGAGCCTCAACATCTCACAACCCTATGAGCCTCCACATTCTGTTACAGGGATAGCTTCACCTTTTTTGCCATAAAGTGTAGCTGCAGCCAGCTAAAGTTTCATGATTTGTTTATGACTGCAGGGAAATTTTATAGCTTACTGTAGGTAGGCTGTGAAGCTTTTCATGTGCCTGCTGTCACTATACAGTCTGATAGGGACCTGCAACAGTGTGCAGAACTGCACTTCTAACTGAACCACAGAGAGGGATGATAGCATAGATGTATATATTAGTTCACAGGGGGTTATGGTATTGCACTGTTATTAGAAACCCATATAAGAATATGAAAACAGTTTTTATTGCATTTGTATAACCTGCATTTAGTGAACATGGCAATTTAATATTAAAAAAAAGTTATTCCCTGAGATTTTATTAAGCTGGGATTTCACTTTATTATAGTCCACACAACTGGTCTTCCAGAAGAAGATAGAAATTATATTTATAATGGACTATAATACCTGCCTTCCCTTTTGTACAGGATTGTGAAAGAACAGTCTCAAAACACTGCATTATCTGCAGCACTGATTTGTCATGCGTGTTTCTTGGGGGGGAATGGCTGCAATGTGAAGACAACTAAATAATTGGGGTGACAGCCCGTAAAAAGCGGAAGAAATAATGCATGTATATAATAGAGAAATGAATGGCCCAGAAGCATGGGAGTCTGTTATGCAGCACCCTGAACCTTGTACAGAATTAATGTGCATAATGACCTCCAAAGTTTGAGTTGAGAAATTAGATTTAAAAATTTATCTGTGTTGTTCATCAGTAGCTAACAGCGTGCAGCATTTTCATTTTAAAAATTTGAATTTGTATTAATAATAATAGTGTTTTACTACTTATGGGTTACCTGATCAAAAATTGTGTTATAAATAGGTGTGTACAGGGTTGCATTTATTTCAATTAGTAAGACACTGGAGGAAGGGCATAGGGGTTTTGTGAAAACCCAAATGGGGGGAGGGGTGTTTTATCAGAACTTTTGTGAGCCACTGGTTTACACTGTGCCAAAACAAAGTTTTCACTGTGTAGTGTTTAGTATTGTAGATGTCTGCTAATGCCATGGCAGTACATGTGTCCCCAAACATAAGTCTGTTGGCTTTGATATTCTGACAGCTTTGACTGAAGAGCACAGTCCTTTGGAATGTGACACCATGTAACCTGTTGAAAGTCAACAGATGCTTCATCACCTTCTGGGTCAAAGAGAAAGCAAAGTAAGCAGTTTCTGCTTTTGTACTTCTTTGACCCTGAGGGTGGAGGCATTGTGTTTCTCCAAATGGTTGATAAGGTTTTACCAGACTACACAGCATCAGATCCAAGAAAGTACCGTATTTACGCATGTATAGGCTGCACATTTTTTGCCAAAAATTCAAGAGGAAAACTGGGGTGCGGCTTATATTCGAAATCACACTTCATTTAAAAAAAATTATATTCATAATTAGTAATACAGGGTGTAATACTCCTGAAGTAATATTCCAAGAAAATTATTTTTTTTGTAATTTCTGTCTGAAAATTGTGCAGCGGCCTATACACGCACGCGGCCTATACATGCGTAAATACGGTATACTCAATACTACAAGAATCTCATATCTTGCAGGATATAATTTGTGTTTGCAACAAAAGCTGAAATTTATACTACGAAAATATTTCCTTCTGAGTTAAAATTTTATCAGTATATCTCTCTTGTGATCTGATCATTGTAAAATGGAATCTTGGTCATTAGTGAATACTGATATTAAAAATTATATTTTATAAAAATACTACACTGTAATTATGGTACAAAATATGTGATAGTACATTTCCATCTAGAGGCTAGTACTATGGAATATTTTTTTATTTTTCATGTACTTTTGACCACAGTATAGTTTCATTCTGTGCTATTTTAATATTCGTCCATTGACTTGATATTTTCATTTTTATTTCCAAGCAGGAATTAAGTACATTTTTCAAATGTTGGATACATGATTTAATACTCTCTGTTTATATAATTTCTGTATAAAAAATGTTTAAATGTACTTAAGATAATTACAGCAGAATTGTTTATTATTATCTATAGTGTAAGAAATAGTCTTTATGAAGTTTGTTATATGCTTGACTTTTGCCTAATTCAAGATGCAGAGAAAAATATGTATATAAGCCAGTGTGTTAAATTATAGGTGCACATCTTGTTATGTATTGTGTTTATGAAGTATATTAATAAAGTCAGCAGTTTGTGTGCACGTATTACAGGTTTCATAAATCATATTCATCTGCACCATATGTTTACATTTTCGATAATAATGCAGTGTCATAGAAAAGTATTTACATAAAATGGTCTACTGTTAGAGTAGTATTTTTATGATACATGAACTTAAAAGAAAACTAAATATTTTTAACATCTTCAGAGATGGGCATGTGGAACGCATCTAATGTCCAAGAAAGTATAATTTTAAAAGATATTGAAACAAATTATACTGACTTTTGAGATGTGATGCCATGTAGTTTGGTAGGTAGTTACACTCTTCCACCCTGGAAGCAGAAAAATGTTGCTGTCTACCAAACTACATGGCATCGCATCCCAGGAGACCACAACCTTCATAATCACGGGCTTCAAAAACTCAAATATCACAAATTTTTAAGAATTGAAACAGAAGTTTCTTCCCTGTTTGTCTCCCACTGATATGATGGAAACATCTGTTGGCTGTTTCCAAAGAGCCTTCTAATAAGGGAGACCTGAGTCTAAATAGAGTGGTATGAGATAGATTCATCTATCACTAAATTCATATTTCCATTCTACTGCACAGATGTAAATTTATTATCCAATTCAATACTTCTAGTCCAGTCCCCATAACTAACTTTATGGAGCTGAGCCCCTCTTGAGAAGTCACCAGTTGTGCAGCTACTGAAGAACTTCCTAACAATTATGGAACCTGAAGGTTCATTACCATGTTCTTTTAATATTTTCCACCCACATATATCTTGGTCTTCCTAGTGGTCTTTCTTTCCTCCTGGCTTTCCAACCACTATCCTATATGCATCCCTCTTTGCCCCATTCGTGCTACATGGCCTGCCCATTCCATCCTCCTCGACTTGATCATTCTAATTATACTTGGAGAAGAGTAAAAGTTATGAAGCTCATTATGCAGTTTTCTCCAACCTCCTGTCACTTCATTTCTCATCAGTCCAAATATTCTCAGCACCCTGTTCTCAAACATGCTCAGTCTATGTTCCTCCTGTAATGTCAAGATACCAAGCATCACACCTACATGTAGATCAGTGATGGTTGTGGGCAAGGGCCAAATTACTATGCCCCCTCCACACACACACACACACACACACACAAACATAGGCACTCAAGAAGTTTTGCAGATTCTAATTTTTGTGTTTTTAGACAGCAGATGAGAAGACAAAAGTTTCAGGAAAATATTTGAACTGTGCCAAATTTCCAAACGATCTGATAGCTCTCTCTATGTCATTTTTGCTCTGCATTCTGGTAACAAGACAGCAACATGTAGACCTGTTGCTAGGCAATGGCAATGAGATAAGCAGTTACATAACAGCTGTTGTTAAATAGTGGCTCTGTAAACAACGGCCGGCTCAGTAGCGATCATGTGGGCATCCCAAGGGATGAGAACACAACAATGGATACAAAAACAGGGGAATGGTGTTTTCTGTGCAACCCGTGCCAAGTGAGACAGTCTCCAGCCAGTAAGAAACTGATCGTGGAAGCAGAGGGCATTGTTGAATCTCACCAGGCCATGACAGGTGCATGCACAGTACACTGAGAAGACTGAGTATATATGGTAGTGAACTGCAGTGTGTGGATTAGAGATATCACTATAGTTATTTGTAATTATGATCTGTAAGTGTTCAATAAATTCAATTACCAATCCAAACCCCGTCTAGAGTCATCTGTCACGTGACAGTATGAATAATGATGGGAATGACCAAGAATAAATATGTTGTTATGTTTGTTAGAATAAACTAGTAAAAAATAAAATTGTAGCATGGTCGAATTTGGGGGAGGGAGGGGGGTATTTATCAGCACACCACAAGTAAATGTCGTAAAAATGTTGATTTATCATAAACAGTGCAGACAGACATACCAAAGGTCCGAAGAACCATTTCATCTAATGGGTTGAAAATTTCCACCCATCATACCACCAGAAAGATTGTATGGCCTTCCTCTAATAATAGGAAAATGTTTTCATCCTTACTTAATTATGGAGCTGAGTCCTTCTTGAGGAGAAGCCAAATCTGCAGCTACTCAAGAATTTCCCAGCATTTTATGGAACCTGAAGGTTCAGTACCGTGTTCACAAGAGCCCTCCACTGGTCCCTATCTTCTTTCTTTCTTTTTTTTTCTGCCAGATCAATCCAATCCATATCATCCTGTCTCTCTAAGATCCACTTTAATATTGTCAACCCACCTACTCCTTGGTCTTCCCAGTGGTCTCTTTCACACCAGTATCCTATATGCTCTCCTCTTCTCACCCATTTGTATTGTCGTTTTTTCTACTTATGAAAATTGTAGAGTTCTTTCTTCCGGGATATAACGCCGTGTAGACAGCTGAAGGTCAACTGACGTTTCGGAGGAATACGTCGCCTTCATCTTCAGGGTCCATGAATAAGCCGAGCAAGAAATCACCGTGAAAGCACGTGGAAAGTTCTGCTTGTTTCTTGCTCGGCTTTGACACTGAATGTGGTGGCGACATGTCCCTCCGAAATGTCAGTTGACTTTCAACGGACTACACGGCGTTATATACCAGAAGGTAAGTTCTTCGTCACCACCGGTGCGAGAACCTCAAATTCTGCATTAGGAAAATTAATTTGATCAACGTAATTGCTTTTCTGCATCTCAAGTCGAATATAAATAGTTTGACCACAGACTGACAGACTCCGTGGTTTTAGCCCGCAAGCGAACTATTCTAGTATAAGACGGAGCCATTTTTCTTGTTGCCTGGAAGTTTGGTTTTTAAAAATATCATTTGTAAATTTTTAGTTACTTAGATCAAACAACATAAGAACACACGTGTTCGACTTTCCCACCAAGTCGAGTCGCTGAACAGGCGCTGGTGTCCGTGCTGGCCGTTGCCTTCATTAGGAGGAGGAGGAGAAGAAGAAGAAGAAGAAGAAGAAGAGGAAGAAGAAGAAGATTGCCTGACATATCTTCAGTTGGTGACACTGCGCGGGTTGTTGTCCTTGTGGTTCGTTGATTCGCTTATTTATATGTGAGCAATGGTGCCATAGTGGGGGTTTGACGGAGGGTTGAAAACTGTGTGGTTGATTTAGTTTAGAGTTGTAAGTATAATTTCATTTTCATAGAAGTTTGTCAGGAGAGGTATGCCGTATACGATGCAGTATCCGTGAGAAGTAAAAGTAATCGCAAGACTAATGTGTAAATTTTCGTATTCTAACAAAATCCCTTAATCAGCCGCTCTTAGTAACATCACTCAGTTTGACTCACGATACATATTTAATTACGAATTTCAGGAGTAGCCTTATAGTAATTTCAGATAATACACAACATTCCTTATTCTGTTGTGAGATTTTGTTATTCTTTTAACGTGTTTTACCATAGCTGAAATATTGGCAGGTTGGAAAATATATAATATATATATTGGAATGCTAAGATGTGTGAAGTTCACAGATACCCCTGTCCTGAAGAGACTTGCCTGTGTATTCAGGAGCTCAGACATTTTATTTAATCAGCTGAGTTACCAATTTCATAAAGAAGAGGCATGTTGAAGAATACATAACTATCTTTTGGGATACAACGCCGTGTAGTCCATTGAAAGTCAACTGACGTTTTGGAGGAACATATCTTTATCTAAGATGGAGCCAACATGTTCTTATGGAACGTCAGTTGATTTGCAAAGAAGTACACATCGTTATTAATGTAAGAGAAGACTCTTCATAACCTTTGCTATGAGAATCTAAGAATTTACAAGAGTTTTATTTTTTTATGATTCTTTTATGCAACAGAAACAAGGAATTCAAGTCCTGATGAGGTCACTGGATTTTTTTCAATTGACCCAATCCTTCCAGCCGCACTATTGCCCTGGGTTCGACTCAGCCTGTAACAGAAATGAGTACCAGGAATTAATTAAATAATTTTCCTGGGGAGTAAAGCGCAGCCAGCGCATAGGGCCGACAATCTTACCACCATCTTTGAGCCGATTGTCTAGATGTTGGACCCTCAACGTCTCACAACCCTAGGGGCCTTCATGGCCTGTTACAGGGATAGCTTTACTTTTTTTAGTTTTTACAGGACAATTTACCAAAATGGTATTGCCTGTTGGTGTTCGTCAGAATGTGCGAATTCTTCTTGTGGGGGAGAGGAGTGTTGGCAAGACCTCCATTGTGTTGTCATTGGTGACTGAAGAATTTACAGAAGATGTCCCAGCCAAAGCAGAAGAGATTACCATCCCAGGTGATGTTACACCTGAGAAAGTTCCCACATTTATTGTTGATTACTCAGGTATGAACAGTGTAGCAGATGATATTATATTTAAGCATCCTGTTGCACTCCATACGATAAATGATATAATGATAAAAACTCCGTCTCAAGTGCAAACAATATATTTTGTGTCTTTGATCTTGTTCCCCTACACTACATGTTTCGGCCTCAGACGGCCTTCATCAGGTGTATAACACTCATGTCGCTCACCAAAAACTAGCACCATAAATATAATAAACACTATATTAGGAAAAAACCATAAAATAAATAAAGAAAGCCACAAAGAAATAATACATATGGTAAAAACAGTATTTGAACAAAATTATTTCCAAATTGACGAAGAATACTACAAACAAACAGATGGACTAGCTATGGGAGCCCCAACATCAGCTATAATAGCAGAAACATATATACAATATATGGAGCACACACAAATATATCCCATTCTAGTAAAACAACAAATAGTGGCCTACTTCAGATATGTCGATGACGTATTAATAATATGTGATGAAAAAACAACAAACATAGAACGTACACTCAAAGAAATCAATGAATTGCAACAAAATATAAAGTTCACCATTGAAAGAGAACAACAAGAATCAGTTAACTTTCTAGATATAACAATATATCGCAATGAAGATAGTTTGCAATTCACAATATATAGGAAACCCACACAAACAGACATCATAATACCTAACAGTTCGTGCCATCCATTCGAGCACAAATTGTTGGGTATTAATTACCTAATAAATAGACTCAACACATACCCAATAACGGAAAAAGGAAAGCAAACAGAGAAGAACATTATTAAAAACATACTACAGAACAACGGATATGACACAAACATAATCAAAAGAATAAATCAGACAACACGAAAACAAAAATCAAACACACATGACAACGAACAACAACATAAAACAAAGTGGGCCATATTTACCTATAGTAGTAAAGAAGTGCAAAAAATTACAAAACTTTTCAAAGACACACAGATAAAAGTAGCATTCCGCACACGAAACACAATAGAAAACATACTCAAACAAAAACCACAATTAGATAAATACAATAAAAGTGGCATATACCAAATGAAATGTGTAGATTGCC